AGTCTCTTCCCCAAACCCAAGCTGATCATTCGCTACCAAGTTGATCATAGTGTCTACCACTGCCACCTAAGACAAATCAATAGCCCTCTAAACATTATTTTTTAAAAAATAAAACCTATATTCTGGCCATTTATTTTACACTAAAAGATAATAGGAGCCTCCATAAAAGTATCGGTAAACCCCTGAACAAAAAACTAAATGAGGCCTGATTTCTGACTTCCTTTACTCCCCACAGAAATGACTAAATAATGTTCTTATGCTATGATATCAGTTTCTAAGGACAAACTACCGGAAAGAGGGAAATGATTGCTTTCAGTATTTAGTAAAATGTTCAACTTGACTGAAACCACAGATCAAAGCAGGATTTAACCCCCCTAAAACAGTGTAACATGCATTTATGCTGCATCAAAAGCATGGGTCCCCTCTTGCCTGCAGGACAAAATCCCAAATTCTTAGCTGAGTACGTGAAGTGGTCCTCAGGACACTTTCTCAGCCTCACTCAGAGAACAAATGTTTGTGCAGCGCTTTACATTTCTGCTGGGCACGGTTCCAGTTTGGGGGGGAAGAAAACCCGGTCCTTGAAACGAAGAACAATAAAGCCGCAGTAAAGCGGCAGGGAATGCCGGCACGGGGCTTGGTGGGGGTCAGGGTCCGCTTCTATGATACAGCGGAGGAGTGACTCCGGGGACGTTGGAGAAAACACTGTCCGGACGGAGGAAACCGCAGAGCCCGGGGCGCAGACTCACGTTCCCCGTGGAGAGCAGCAGGGTTAATGCGGCCGCCTCAGAGCACGCGGGCTGGGAGGACCAGCGCTCGTTTTGTCGTGGTCGGACAGAGGCGGCGGCACACCACGTGGGGCTTTTTAGACTACGGTAAGAAACTCCCGTTGACTGAGCTGGGAAGCCGCTGGAGATTTTGAGTTGTAACTTCGTGGGTCGTGTTTCTAGAGGATCGTTCTTGCTCTAGTGTGGAGCCTTGAATGGGGAGGCAAAGGGGTAGAGGCAGCCCTCCGATACTCCACCTGCCTCCCCCAAACAGGTGTGCTACCACATTAGTAGCTGGTATTTACTGCGGTCCGAGGTGCCACACTTATCATTTAGTCCTCAAACCCAACCTGCGAAGCAGCGACGTCAAGTGGGAAGGAAAACAGGCCCCCGGCAAGCTCCAGCAGCCCACTCACAAGGAAGAACTACTAAGCGGCGGAATCCTGAAATCTGCCAGACACGACGGCGCAGGCTTCTGCCGCAACACGCAGCACAGCCTCGCCAGTCAGTCAATTGTTTCAGGCATTTTTACCACTCGCCTTTGCACGTCCCAGAACAGATAATCTCGCTGATGGCAAACTTCATTTTTCTAGATCAACTCAAGGTTTCCCTGCTGGGTGAAACCATCCCTGATTTTTCCCAGGCCTCTTTGCTCCACCTTCTGGGCCTTTCAGCGGTTGCTCCGTCTTCATTTCTCTGAAACAACTTACCTGGTGGCCGTGTAACTGTGTCTGTTTATGTACTTCCCCCACTGAGGGCACGGTGGTCCTGCCTTCTTGTTCGTCACTCCCTCTCCCCCACTACACTCCCCTCTCCTCCGCCCACCTCCACACACATCTAGCTCAGCGCCAGGAGCCGACCAAATGCTAGCTGAATAGAGGAATAAATTACTACAGCAGCAAAGGTAGAGACCCAGTCTACTCTATGTACCTTGGACATTCCAGTGCCACAGTTTTAAAAAAATGAAAAACATTCACCAAAAACAAAAAAGATAAATATGCGGTGATGGATGTATTATTGGGGCAATATTTTCATGGTGTGCATGTATATCAAATCACCACAATGTGTACTTCCAATATCTTACAATTTTGTCCATTATACCTCAACAAAGCTGAAAAAATTAGCTAATGGTAGCAATATGAAAAAATAAAGTGAATGGATGTCAACTAACTTTATTTGATCATTTCACAACATATAAAATATCAAATCATTATGTGGTACACCTGACACATTACCATTTGAGAATGGAAAAGTACATATTCCAGTTGTGCTGTTGAGTAGGACTCTGAATCATTTGCAAAATATAGACATTTAGACAAAACACTGAAAGCTAAAGAGAATCCAAAAGTGAAACAATGAAGAAACATAAAACTTTGTTCAAATAAATAACTTAGGACTCGAAACGCATTACCTGAAAGATGGAAAGCACATTTTTGTTGGTTTTAATATTAGAAAGACTGAAATGTGCATGTGATTGTCTTTTTTTTTAAACATTGTTTTTTTTTAAAGATTTTATTTATTTATTTTTAGAGAGGGAAGGGAAGAGAGAGAAACATCAATGTGTGGTTGCTGGGGGCCAAGGCCTGCAAATCCAGGCATGTACCCTGACTGGGAATCGAACCTGTGATGCCTGGTTCGCAGCCTGCGCTCAATCCACTGAGCTACGCCAGCCAGGGCCTTGCCTTTCTTTTTAAATCTATTGATTTTAGAAATTAAGAGGAAGAGGTGGGGAGAGTGAGAGAAACATCAATTTGTTTTTCCATTTAACTCAACGCATTCACTGATTGATTCTTGTATGTGCCCTGACTGGGGATCAAACCCACAACCTTAGCATATCATGACGACACTCTAACCAAGAGCTACCTGACCTCTTCAAAGGCAAAATTAAGAGCACTATGTGGAAGACTCAGAAAGACAAACTGCCTTAATGGAAGTAAGAATTGCGTATACAATCAAAGCTTTCCAATTGCAAGGGACCATTCCTATAAAGGCAAATGGCCACCTTGACAAAAAGCACTCGGTGTCAGAGCGGAAAAGGGAGAGGTGGAACGCTGACGGTGGAAATAGGTAACACAACGGACAGATGTCGCTACACTGCACTAAAAGTTGTTATGCTGTGGGAAAGGTGGTCAACACGGGTAAGTCCAGTCCAGGGTACAGACAGTGCAGAATAAGCTGGGAGGGTAAAAAGCTAAGAGTCTGTTCAAAAAGAAATGCTCGTAACCACAGGTGACTATGCCGGAGAGAAAGGAAGCAGAGACATAGGAAAGGAATGACTTCAAACATCACAGGAAAAATACCTGACAATTACTGCTGCACAACATGTTCAGGTCGGGCCTAGGTTTGTCGCCATCGTTGGGACGGGCACTACCAGTCAAATCGACCCCTCAGCATGTATGAAACATCCAGTTCATAGACGGAATAGGACACAGTCTTCCACATTTGAAGAAAACCCAGTTGTTCAGAAATTATCCACTTTATTGGCCTATTGCTTCTTTTGTCTCCTTTCATACCACTTGCCTTTTGGCAAATTTACTTCTTCATGATAGCACTTCTACCAGACAGGTTTTGAGACACAATGAAAAGTGTGACAGGGAAATGAAACAAAACTCAAAATCTAGGAGTGATTGCATATATATTCAAAACGCATGTGAGGGAAAGCGAATTTTCTCATGATTTATCTTCAGGCAACATTTTGGTGTAACTATATGTAATTTAACAAGACATTATCATAGACATTAAATACAAAATACCAAAAATATCTACATATATACATTTCAACAAGAAATAACATTAAAAAACACAACTCAAACAAACCGGAGTTCCTCAATTTGGTCAGAAATCTCCATGAAGCTGAAATGATTATCACAGAAAAAACTAAGAGTTCTTAAAGAAAATACAGTTGAGTTTTAATCTTCACATACGTATAACACTTTTTCCCTTTGATCTCAAATAACTTTTGGAAGTAGGTTAAATATTTTTCATACTCAATTTAAAAAGGTAATGTCTTATTTAACATTTTTCAATACACCTAAAGGAGAGAAAAAGATTGATATAATTTTATATTTGGAATGTAATTTAAAAATCTAGTTGTTCTCATTATCTGCTTTAAACTCCTAACTTGGCCATCTTAATACTGTAGTCTCCCCTTTTCCCCTAGGAAATCTCAAAACAAAAGACAGAAATATTTAACATGTAATAAACTAAATTAATTCTTTTCTTGAGCATTTATTGTTTCGACTTTTTAGTTGATCCTAGTATTTTTTAAAAGGTTGGAATTAATCATTTTGATAAGTTTATTTTCTTTTTAAGTAAAAGACTAAACTTCCATATTTAATAAACAGAAAATACTCTTTTGGTAAATATAATCAAGTTTCTTAAAATATTAGTTATAAAATTTTAGAATAGGCTTATCTCACTTAGTATTGGAGATAGGTTCTTGCAAATGGAAGCACTAACCAAACTAGTGCAATTCAAAGTCATTGCACCATAAACCCTCTGTAGGTGCTAAGTACACTACATACTCTGCCTGATCAACATATACTCTGTAATTAGTTTATTATATCTTTATCTTCTCTGTCTTCCTCAGAATGTGTCTAATAGTGCATTTCACCAAGCCTGGAGCATGGTAAAATCAACCCAGATCCACCTGATGGTCACCTGCCTAGAATCTGCAACAGCTAAGCCACATTTTTAATCATCAAAGTAACGCCTTGTTTGGTTGGAAGCAAACTACTATTAGCTGTGAAGCAGAAGACCATACTCAGAACATAGAGTGTCGCTGACAGATACACCACCGAGTCAAGAAAACAAACCTACTGAGGCAAGGGACTCAAACTGGGCAAAAAGACCAGCATAGCGTGATGGCTCTGACTCCCTGACCAAGAAAAGGCACTGTTTACTCGACGTTTTTGACATGTAAGTTCTAAAACAAAGGTTTTATGTAGTGCGTTAAATTTGGAGAAAATCAAAAGCAAATTCTCTAACCTAATATACTTAGAAATTCCTACTTGAAATAAAGCTACTTAGCCAAGATGCTGCCATTTGGGCAAAGTGTTAATTTGTAGTATTTGTGTACATAGATGGGTATTCTTTCATTTCATCAGGCTTGTTAGTATGCTTCACTAGTCACACTTGACAACTTGATCTTAGTTTTGTTGGTAAAGAATGCAGCTCCGCTCACTTCCAGGTAGAGGCAAACTTTAAAGACTGCAGATTGTTTTAGAGAAAGTTCAGTTCTTAAAAATAACTTTGAAATAGAGTATTGCTTTCTGATTTCCCATATTTGTTTTAAGTTTAGTCATAAAATTTCATAAAACATCTGGTCACTGATCTCACAGTTTTTACTACTTTGACCCTAAAATTAAAATTTTTAAAAAATCTAATATCAAAATATTAAATTTTCAAATATCCCCCCCAATAATGGTTCGTAAACTCTCAAGTATTACCAAGATGATCTAACAGAGAATCAAAATCAAAGCATTAATTAAAGTTCTCTTGGATTTCACAACATAAAATATTCCTTTTAGCACTGAACCACCCCATTATTAAAGTTATTTGTAAACACAACATATCTTAAATATTTGATTTACGAAACTTAAAAATAACATACTTCCATATGGGTAAGATATTCCTCTAAGATATTCCTCCACAATTTTGATATTCCTCAAAGCCTCTTAAAAACGGATGCTAATTGTATCAGAAAGTCTATTCCGCTTCAGAGATTTTAACTAGAAACCAGGAAGTTTCTTAATAATCCAGAAAAGAGACGATAAAATGACGAGGATGATGAAGAGGGTTAAGTCCACATGTGCTTCGAGAACTGGAGCCATCCACCTTCGGATGTCAGACATTTGCTGGCCTGAAGACCAAAGTCCAACCACAGGACACCGTGTGGGTCCCCCCGGTCCACATTCTGGTATTCGGGTACAAAATGAGGATAGGTCGCAAAAGCTATGGACATTTTCAAGTTTGTTTGTTTTTTAAATATATAATAATTGAACCAATCTGAAGAGTGTATGGCTTACAATAGCTCTGCCAGTTGCAATAGGAAAAAATACGTTTTTGTTTTGTGGTGACTATTTATTGGTTAGACTCTTAATTTCCTCTTCACGTTTTCGGTGACTGTTTCCCACTGGTATCATCAACCAGGTCTCTCAGGCGAGATAAATGGTGCAAAGCCCTTCATCAAAAAGTATAAAACATATTATCAACCAATATTAAAGACTGAATAGGAACACAGACAGCAAGAAATGGTGATTACATTGTTTATTAACATCAAAATTAGTATGAGGAGTGAATTTATACAATAACTTAAGTATCGAACTGTGATGGAGTTTCCTTATAAAACTTTGATATCTAAATAATTGAGGGTTAAAATAATTCATCTAAAATTCTATAACAACACTTACTTTAAAAAATGTATTTTGTGTGTTCAAGGCTTCTTTTTGGCAAGTTAGCTGAGTTAGTTTAGTAAGAAACAATGGGTATCATTTGCTATCACACTTAAAACATTTTTTTCATGTAATTTTCACAACAGGTTTGTGAAATAATATATTTTATTTTGGTATACTGTGTATATCATTTCAGAAACAATTCATTTATTTTTTTAACATACACTCAAGATAGCTAAAACTCAAAAAAATAAAGCATCAGTTACAGTTGTCAGAAAAACTCATTTTTATTGAGCATGGAGGAAACAAATGAAAATTATGTTGAATAATGTAATATTATACCAAGAACCTTGTTTTCGCAAAAATAGAGCTAAGATTATAGTATTAGTGGAGAAAATTCAGTCATCCTTCAAACCAGGAAAAGAGAGGCCCTTAACTTTCCAATCTTGCTCTAAAAACTGTTCCAGTTTTTCCTCCTCTATCCTTCAGATCCTAGAGCCACTCAGAAAATGTCAACCATGTTAATCAACCATATTTCGGGTCTCTGATAAATAAGAGACCAAGAAAAACAGAAATAATATAGCAATGTGTGCAGTAATCTCTAGTGGTCAATTACTAAGGTGAGCTAAGGGTGGTAACTATGACACGCTAATTCTACAGTCTCTAACACAGGTTCAATAAATGTATATTAAATAAATACATTATCTACTTTACCCAAGATAAAGAGGTGGAAGAAACCAGCAGTGTTAATTACTGCATTATATTTCTCTCCCATGTCTCTGTCTTGGACACGTACTCAAATATAATTAAGAGAAGAATCTGGATTCTGCTACCCTTTTAGCAACTTCAGTTAATTTTTGAGATTCTCATCCTCTTTAACTAAATGACAATAACGTACCCAAAGTTACTAAGCGATTAGGTAAAATTAACTAGACACTATCATTTCTACATTATCTAAAGAATTCTTTTCTTCCTAGAGATGCAAAGTTATGAGAAAAAAGACAACTTGTAAATATACTTGAGACTTGTCTTCCTTTTTCTTTTCAGGCTTGTTATTACACTACCTGTGACTCAAGTGAAAGAAAACGGCAAATGGCTAGAGAGTCTTACTCACTGTTCACAAACCTAACAGCCACACATCCCTTGGACTTCAAGGGTCTGGGAAACTGGATTGGCAAAAAAAAAATCCTCATCTTTATTTTCACTAAATACTATCTGTAAATTAGAATCTTTCCAATATGCGTGTACGCAACAGACCAAAACCTGTGACCACAGAAAACGGAGATATTTTCATATCACATTATAGTCATTGCAGGAATCTAAAAATCTTTTTTCACTACTTCAAAGTTATAATAGTTATATGATAGTTTCAAAATTACAACAGGTATCGAAACCACTGCCAGAACATATGTTATCTGAGTCTTCCTGTTTACAGTCCAAAAGCTCTGGTGTGACTTAACTGGCCAGCTATTAGATAACTTTAAGCCTAGCTGTTTACCCACTGATAGCAAGGTCTCACTGGCAATCCGGAAATCAATGCTTCCCCAAATTCCCTTTCTCTACCTGCTGATCAACACGTGAAAAGGAAGTAAAAGCATACCATGATTTAATACTTTTATTCAAGCTATGCAAAAGGTCTTCAAATTAGGTTTTTACAAAATCAATTTTAACTTATCTGTGTTTTAAATGTAGTCTTCTTTTAAATGCATTAATAATCACATATTATTAACTAGAAATGTAATATTTTTATAACTATAATTCAATATAACTAGTTTCCTTTCTAATCCTACGTAGTTTATTTTACGCCTTTAAAAAACAACATCAGTGAGAAAGAAGGAGAGGGGAGGAGAGGGGAGGGTGTGGTGCGATGGGAAGGAATGAGAAAGCTAAGCAGAAACACAATCTTCCGTGTCCCTAGCTCGGCTACACTTGTCAGCTGGCAGTTCCTTTCACTGAACTGGCATCTGCCCTGCTGAGAATGGAACAATCCACTTAGAGCAGAGGCTATCAAAAGTGTTGCATTCAGCCCTGGCTGGCGTAGCTCAGTGGACTGTGCGTGGGCTGCGAACCAAAGCATCGGAGGTTCGATTCCCAATCAGGGCACATGCCTGGGTTGCACGCCACGGCCCCCAGCAACCGCACATTGATGTTTCTCTTTCTCTCTCCCTTCCCTCTCTAAAAATCTAAATAAATAAAATCTTTAAAAAAACCTTTAAAAAAGTGTGCCATTCAAAGGTATGTGTAGGGAGAAGTGGGAGAAAACTAGAAGAATATTATTCTTGATTTTTTTCTAAAAAGGTGAAAAGACACACTAATGGGGAAAACATAAATTCAAGGGTTATGATACAACACCAAGTACAGCCCTTTGAAATGGTGTTACCAAAGTAAAAAATTTTAATCTTGGCATTTTATGAACTCAGTACACCATCTTCTGTGGACACTTTATTTTCACACAACTAAACCCACAAATACTTTTCCCTTCTGCCAATAAGGCAAGACTTGTATTCTTGATGAAACTAAGAAAACAGGGGGATTAACACCTTTAAGGCATTTCAACCTTTTTATCCAGGACACTGTATCTCCTGGAGGTTTCTGTGGATATAGGTCAAATAATGATACAGTTGTGACTACAGCTATTCTAGAGGGTATATATGAAAACACATGTCATGAACAAGTTCTCGTCCGGGATATCCACACCAATACTAATCTTACACTGCTGCTATTGTTCAGAAATTAAAGAGTATCAATTTAGGCCATTCCCATTCCTTGCATGTTAGGTGTCTAAGGTTATCTCACAGGGTTCTAAGAACATTTTAAATAAGAAATAGCACAGTAGTAAGAGAAAACTTCAGTATTAAACAATATGTCCCAAGAAGTTTAACCATGCCCATCATATGCTTAGAACTACTTCATTACATCCTGTAACGCTCTGACTTCAATCCAAGAGGCGGCTACAACATACCCACACATATCCATAAATCAGTACAGAATACTTACTTGTGAAGTGACCTAGTGATAGGAACCATACTTTCCTTCAACTGTAATTTAGAGAAATCATCTTCTGAAACCTATTATTAAAAACATCAAATGAAACAAAATACTGAAAACATTATATAATTATAAACTTATATGCTGTCTAATGTGATTAAAGAGAACAAGAAATAATAACTGTCTTCATTTCCAAAGAAATAATTCTAGCAAATAATTTTCAGTAGAGAGTTATTTTTATTTTCTCTTTATTCTAAAAATGCAACTACTACCGGGAGTCATCTTTCACTTGTCCTACAGTATGCTTCTAAATGTATGCCCAGTAAAAATCAAATACTGGCTTCAAATGATGACTTCTATGAACTCGGTTATGTCTCCGTAATGTTTAAAAGGGGAGGGAAAACAAAGACAGATTACACGCTTGTATGTTAATGTTGTGATCATTAGAAAGGAAAGAGAAATAGTAAGAAACAAACCTAACAGAGCAGGCTGTGCTAGTTCCCAAGAGTTAATCCACTCATTTTTAACAAAAACTGAATTTCAGAAAGCTCTACTGAGTAACAAGAGCAATAATAAAACAGTGACAATAAAAACATTTCTTAAATATTTAAAGGTACTGTTATCTGTAAATAATTTAAGTACTATTATTTGTTTTTACAACTTTTTACTTCTTATTATGTCTTTTTAGTATTTTTTTATTCTCACTGGGGGACTTTTTTTTATTGCTTTTAGAGGGAGGAAGGGAGGAAAAGAGACAGAGAAACATTCCTCAGTTGCCTCCCATATGTGCTTGGTCCCAGCAGCGTGCGCTCCCAGACTGGGGGTTGTACACAAGTGGACCAGGGAGCAAACCCACAACCTAGGCACGTGCCCCGACCAGGAACTGAACCCACAACCATTCAGTTACGGGACAGCACTCCAACCAAGCCACACAGGCCAGGGCACTATTTAAGTTTTTAAAAGTTTTTATTATTAGGTAAATATTTTATTAATAAGGTATTTATTAAGTTTCTAATTAGGTGCCAAGCACTATAATAAGTAGTTGATATAATATGTCTTAATTTCTGAATGACGTCATTTTACAGAAGAGAAAACTGAAACTAAGGAGGTACAAATATTGCACTTGCAAGTGGCAGAATTATTATTTACAATCAGATTGGGATTATATAAACATTCTCCCAAGTTATAAGTAACAATATATTCATAAACACTACACTACTATGAAGAAAATTCAACCCCAACAGAACAGTAGCCTAAAGCAGAAACAAAGTTCCAAATTCCTAGGAAACACATAAAAATTCAATGGTTTTAAAACAAACTTTAGCCCCAGCCAGTGTGGCTCACTGGGTTGGAGCACCGTCCTGTAAACCAGAAAGTCACGGGTTTGATTCCCAGTCAGGGCACATGCCTGGGTTTCAAGTTCAGTCCAGGTTGGGATGTGTATAAGAGGCAACCAATCAATGTTTCTTCTCTCATATCAATGTTTCTCTCCCTCCCTCCCTTCTCCTCTCCCTAAAATCAGTAAGTGTGTACTCAGGTGAGGACAAAAAAATAAAACTTTACAGAACTGTCTTCAAAGGTCAATAAACATATGGAGCAAATTGCAGATGACAAAGATATATAGAGAAGTCCCATGGTGAAAAGGTTTTCTAGATTTCCCCAATCTACAAATACATGTCGACTACACAGAATAATTTTGTAGGGCATAAAAAAAACTCTTACAATCCTTCCATACGATAGCTGTAATACCATCACATCTATGTAAGATGTTGAATTTATTACCATAAACTAAATAAAACAATCCATTCCAGAATATACAACCACAGAAATTTAATAGTATTCAATTTGAATGTCACTTTGTTTTTATATATGTGTATATCTATATATTTTATTGTTGATGCTATTACAGTTGCCCCACAGCTGTGTCACCTTTACTCACCTCTGTCCACGTCCGTGGGTCCTTCCTGTGTGCTCTTTGACTGATCCCTTCACCTTCTTTTAATTAGTGCCCCCTCCCCCTCCCCTCTCCCAGCGGTCAGTCTATTCCATGATTCCATGCCTCTGGCTCTATTTTGCTCATTAGTCACTTTCTAAAAAAAGTAATAATACAACTCTACAACATATGTTATGTGCTATGATTAACATAAAATTAGAGGTCAAACTAAAAAAGATCTAGAAATAAATCTTATCTCTTCACGGATCGCAATTCATACATCAAGTTTGTGCTTACTTGCTTAATTTCTCCTTTTGGCTCTATAGTTTTATTCTGGTTAAAACTTTCTTGCACAGCCTGAAGATTAAATAACATCTGTTTCAGGGCTTCCACAGGGCCATGGTGTTTCCCTCCAGAAAGGGTGCAGCCCTAAAAGGTAAAACAGATGAACGACTAACCATCCAAATTCAGGGGCAAAAAGTTCTATTTTGTATTATTCTTCCCCAATACAAAATTAATGCAAAAATCCAAATAATACATGTCAATAAAGTGTTTTAGAAATTGTACCTAACTCATCACCTCGCCTTACCCAGCTCCCAGATGAAGTTACTTAGTGACAGTCATCACGAACAGCAGGGCATTTCCTTTCTCGTCTTTGCTCTTTTAAAATGAATAGTACTTGTTTACACTTGCAATGCATTCATTTAGTACGTTTAAAATCACAGATTTTGCCCTGGCTGGCATGGCTTAGTGGATTGAGCTCGGGCTGGGAACCACAGTGTCCCAGGTGCAATTCCCAGCCAGGGTACATGCCTGGGTTGCAGGCCATAACCCCCAGCAACCGCACATTGAAGTTTCTCTCTCTCTCTCTATCTCCCTCCCTTCCCTCTCTAAAAATAAATAAATAAATAAAAATCTTAAAAAAAAATCACAGATTTTTAGAACTAGAAGTCCCCCAGAGAGCAGGTAAGCCAACCTGCTCTTTTCAGGTGTGTAAATGCAGCCTGGTTACCAGCTGAGCAAGGACTGGAATTTTAAACACAGTATTCTCTACACACAGTTGGATATGTTTTGACACACAGAATACTGGTGTTTCCCCTCTTCATGGGCCACATAGTCCTTGCTGCCCAAACAACACTCGTAACTCGATTATCACCGATCTTACCTGCATCCAAAGGAGGGCAACAGCACTTAGCTATGTAAGTGGTCAGGATTCTCTTAAGAGAATCTGTAGGGGATATTTTTGAACTTCTTTTTAAAATTCTTACCAACCTATTACTTGTACATTATTCACATGAGTTGCTGTGTCCTGAAAACTATCCACGAAGTGGCAAATTGGCCTCTTAAGATGTCTGTAATTTAAAATTTTTTCAACATAGTACACCATATGTACAGTTTCAACTTCAAGGCTACAGGAAATTGTTGACTAGCATAAGAACATTAAAAGTGGGCTCTCACTGGTGAAGAGATTCAAAGTTAAGCATAAGAGCTAAGAAGGTTTTAAAGGCACTTCACTGCTATATGAACACAGAATGTAAGTATGAAACTATTAAAAATACAGAATAATCCTGAATGTGCACTGTAATTGAAAAAAAAGAAACATGGTGTGAGAAAGTAAAACGATGCAGCTGCTGTGGAAAATGGTGTGGCAATTCCTCAAACACCAGCACAGAATTATCATACGACCTGCAATTCCCCTTCCAGTTACACACCCAAAGTGAAAGCAGAGACTCGAACAGACACCTGTGTGCCCATGTCATAGAAGCATTATTCACAGAACAAAAAGTTGAAGGCAGCCCATGATTTCATCGGCAGATGACTGGATAGACAAAACATGGTACATACGATGGATACTCCTCAGTCTAAGAAAGGAAGGGAATTTTGACACATGATGCAACATGTGAAATAAGCTAGTCACAGAGGACAAACATATGATTATCATGATGCTATGGACTGAATGGTGTCCCAGAATTCATGTGACAGCCCTAACCTTGAATTCAGCTGTATTTGGAGCAGGGCTCTGGGAGGTAATTAAGGTTCAATGAGGTCATAAGAGTGGGAGCTTTGACACCATAGGATCAGTGTCGTTACCGGAAGAGACACCTGAGAGCGGGAGGCAAGGCCGCTGTAAGGACGCTGTGGAAGGCAGCCACCTGCAAGCCAGGAAGGGAGCTTGTTCACCAGCACAGAATCTGCCAGCAGCCTGACCCTGGGTCCCCAGCAGCCGCCAGAACTGTGAGAATAAAAATCCGTTGGGCCACCAGCCTCCAGTGCTTTGTCTCAGCTGCCTGAGCAGACTAACACATATGAGGTTCCTAAGAAGAAAAGTTTTTCTTTTCCACAGAGAAACGGGTGAAATCAGAAGGTCCGCAGCTGCGGGAGCAGTGTTGTGCCCACGTTAATTCCCTGTTTGTGGTCATTGTGCTTTGTTGAGATGTAAACAGTAGGGAAGCTGGGAGAAGGATGACAGGAGCCATGTGTATTATTTTTGCAACTTCATGCACATATGAAATTATTAAAAACAAACAAATAAAACCACCCTGGTAGTGAGGTTGTATGCGTATGGTCAGCAGACAAGGAACCAGTTGCTCAGTATTCAACACACATCCATCTCAAACTTAAAAATACTTGTGCAAATCTGTTCCTCTGCCAGTGCTCCTCATCTAAGAAGTGGCACCATCCAATCCTTTCGTTGCTTGGCTCAAACGTCTCGGACTCATGTTTTAAATCCTCTCTATCTCCATCCCACCAGGTGCTTCTCCAAAGCACACCCCGAGTCGAACTGTTTCCAGCCTCCTCCCATGCACCCCGGCTATTCGGGCCTCTGCAGTCCCCATCCTGAGTGACTGACTGCAAACACTGCCAACCTTTCTGCTCCTTCTCCAACTGCTCTTAAATCTATGCTCATACACCTACCATTTTATATTTTTAAATGTGTACCTGAAAATTTCATTCCTCCACTCAAAACTCCCCAGTGACTTCTCACTCAGATAAAATGTAAAATCTGCATTCCATAGCTCCAAAGTCCCTACAGATCTGACCCCTCGTTACCTCTCCACCTTTCCTCTTAGCACCCTTTCCTGAGTTCCTGCTGACCGAGCTACACTGACTGGACCCCAACACTCCTGATGCCAAACACCTCTCTGCCTGGGGTCTCAGCGTGCACGGTGACCTCTGCATGTAGAGTCTTTCCCCACGGGCGTCTGGGTTATTCACCCCTAGTAGGTTTTCGTTCATGAGAGAGGCCATTCCTGGCTACTCTATTTAAAACTGCAGGCTCATTTCTCTTTCCCAATTAATGTTTCTTCATAACACTAATAGTACTCCCTTATAGATTACATATTAAATTTTTGTTTAGTTTGTCTCTTCAACTAGCGTAAAAAATTTAAGCGGCAAGGGTTTCCTCTTTTTCACTACTAGGAGTACAGTTCCCAAAAAAGTGCTTGGTACTCAAATATTTGTCAAATATTTGATAACTAAACTTCACTTACCCTGCACCTGCTGTACTACTATCTTATATAGAGCGCTAAGGTCTGTAGTAAATTTCACTGGAGGAAAAGAGACATTTTATTAAATTTTTCAGCTAGTATTCAACCTCTCAAATCTAGAATGTTAAGAACCCAAAAATATTATTTGAATATTTAACACCATGTCTTGTGGTTCTAAATCAAACTGTGCATCATTACTTATATGCAAATATACACATTTATATTTTATTTTGGGGTTAACTACAAGATGCATATATACTGATTTAGTAAAATAATAGTTTTCCTATTTTAAAAATTATATAGATTTATAATTTTATTTTAGAAACACAAATCTCAATAAGCAGCTGTCCTATGGGAAACTATAATGGTCTGTTTTATATGTTTTCCAGAAAATAAAATTGTCATGACAACTTAGGCTCTCTGTAAGAGTTCAATCTCAGGTCCCTTTACTGCAGAATACTCAAATAAATTATCAATAATTCCAGGAGTAATGGTTTCGTGCAGGGGTGCCCAACCCACAGGCCGCACGCCGCCCAGGAGGGCTATGAATGCGGCCCAACACAAAGTCATCAATTTACCTAAAATCTTTTCTTTGCTCATCAGTTGTCGTTAGTGTTTGTGTATTTAATGTGTGGCCCAAGACAAATCTTCTTCCAGTGTGGCCCAGAGGCACCAAAAGGTTGGACACCTTCCACGGATGGTTGAAACTTTCACTGGATGTGTGTTCGGGAAGAAGGGACATGGGTCATTTTTTTGTTTTATAATATCTAAGTAACTTAGAAGTTAATATCTACATACTAGTAATCCTTTAATAAGTTAAAGAGATGTACCTTCACTCACCTGATCATCATCATTCAAAAAGTCTTCAAGGAGCCGCTTATCGCACTTCGCCCTGGAAGCCTGCTGAGGGCCCTCCTCAGAGTCAACAGGAACGGGAGATTTGCTAAACGGAATTTAAGATACAAGACAGCAATTGAGCTCCCGATTTATAAAAATTAGACAGTATATAATTGCTAAATGGTTATCATTTCAATATAAATGGTCACCAAGAAATAATCATTATAAGTATGATTGATGTTGATTTTGCTCGGTAATTCTCTCATCTTCTCCCTTAACTGATAATAGAATCCAGCCCTCCCTATCTCCTTGCTTCTCCCTTAAAACTCTAAGAGAAGATGAAAATGTCAGTTTTCAAATAAACAAGTAAGCCTCCAACTATAGGCTATGCTTATAGCTCACTTGTTTAAATAAGCAGTACATTTTTCCAATTAAACACCATTAGTTACCCGATGATAATACACAAAACTCCCACAAACACATGATTTTCTACTGGGATGGCAATTACATGCTCTGCCACGTCAAAGCAGTAAGACAGACGTCCCCCTCCAGAACTGGTATGAACAAAGAAGACAGATTAGAGAAGGAAAAGAATCAATTTTGAAATTATAATTCCTGAGTTCAAATTCCATCCCACTCACTATATGACTTTACATAATTTATTTATCTGAATTTCGATTTCTACATTCATACTCGCATTTATCTCAAATAAATCTTCTGCAAATTAACTCTATGTACCTGTTACATTTAATAAATGCTTAATAAATATTAATTTATTTCTTGATGTAAGAGGTAGTAGAATAAAGGGCATCCCCATCAAAAATAAGAAATTTCCCAAAACCAAATTGTTAGTTAGAGAATAAACTCATTCTTTTATTTAAATATCATTATGAGATGTGCTTCTAACTCAAGTACTCAGATATCTAAGTCTTTTTATAACATGTAAATGTTACAATGCTAATTTTTCTTAATTCACAGCATTTTATGATTAACTCATTTGATTTGTAATTCACTCGGAGCTTTTTACTGCTCTCAAGTAGTCTCTTCTCCCATTCTTGAGCAAAAGAGTTTGTACATCCACCCACCATTATCAAAAGCGTTTATCTGATTACTGAAGATGGGTGCTAGGTATATAAGGGTTCATTACACTATTCTTCCACTTTTGCATTTGAAATTTGCCCATATAAAAACTTAAACAAAAAAGCAAATTTCTGGTTGTAGCTGTAGTCAATCTTTTAGCATATTACTTTGAGTACATCCACGTCAATTTTTTTTAAGATAGATTGATAACAATTTGTCAAAGTCATATTGAGCCAAGTCTGTCACTCCTTCTCACAATCCATCATTAACTTTATATACAAACATGCCCATCACTATATGAATTCAATCGTCTAAATATCAACCACTGTATGCAATGTACTGGGCCAAACCCCTGATGGTAATAATTATACTAGTCACAGGTTCTAGTATCTACTTATGAAATACATTAAAAAAAATTTTACTCTTAAATATCTGATATTATCTGCTCACCCACTTTGGTTCCAACTGAAAGCAAAGCATTGTGGCTATGGTACTTTACAAATACAGAAAGCTACTGATAATATGCAATTAAAAAATAAGAAAGATAAAAATTAAATGAGATCATTATTAACCCATTTTTAGAAAGAAATTGTTGAATCGACAATTGAGAAATCTAACTAAGAAAAAAATATTCTGAATAATCACCACAATTACAATTTATGAGATGATTATAATGTCCTAACTACTTTTATTTATTTTCTAACCAATTGAATCCTCACACAAATGCCAAAGCAAAATAACTTGTATAAGACCTTGTACAAAGTCGAGTTGTACAGCAGAGATGTAACTTGTACAAGGTCTCGGTGAGGAAGTGACAGAGCTGGGATTCCAAACCAGGGTAATAATCAGTGTCCACATTAAAAAAAAATTCAACAAAAAAGTAATTAAAAAAAGATCCAGCAGTTACTAAACACCATCTATGACAAAATAAAAGTACGGACAACGGAATATAATAATTATCAGAACCTAAGGCAGGACGCAGGGTTACCAAGAATGCATATCTGATAAGTCTAGATACAATAGTATCACTGAGACACTAAGAAAAAGCTTCCCTATCTAAACTCCCCATCCTTATTCCATGCAAGTACCTGGGTGAACACTTTTTATTCTGAAAAGCCACTGAAAGGTTAAACACACAAATGAAAACAATCTCAGAAACGACAAAGATTTACAGAATAGACAATATATAAAATGGACAATCATTTAAGGAAGATAATGACTGAAAGAGAAAGTAAAATGTAAATGAAAGGAAATGGATAACTAATACATGGGAACAATAGAAAGGGAGAAAGAACTTCAAAGTAAAATGAAAGTAATAAGAATTTCACAGCCCTCCTCCTTCTGCAAAATAGTTGCTTTTGGTTCTAATTCCTCATATTAAACATATATGAATGTTTTATAGTGCAACAAAAGGAACATGTAACAAAGGCAAAAGTTATATAATGTATCTGAGTTATGAAACATTACACCATCTTGTGGTAACAAATGAAAAACTACAATATAAAGCAAAGCAACTCTGAATGCTGAGTTCTACAGAATTACCATTGCTAACTGTCATTAAGTTATTTAAAAATAAATTAGATGTTCACACGTTTTTCATTTGGAAAACTACTGACCTCATATAACTTTTCCGTTATAACGTACTTACAAAGTAACAGGAATATTTTCCCACGACCTTTCTGCTTCAAGTTTATCTAGTGAACACGGACTGTCGTCCTGTTTCATAGGCTTCGGTAGGTCTTCAGTACAATGCTCGAGATTCCTCTTGGCTTTCAGGATGAGCAATTCAATTTTGTCACCTGTTTAAAAGACTATATTAATTATTTAAAAAAGCAAAGCACACCAAAACTCTCACAAAAGCAACAGGAATTCAGATAACTTGGAATATATACACATCTATGACAGCAAATTACGTCAAAATGTGACAATTGAAACAAGTAAAAGGGAGAAAAGACATTTTCTATTTACAAAATGCTACATAAACGAAAACCTAGGAATTCAAGAGATCTTTTATCACGTGATCATTACAGCAAGACTGAAACATAAAAGTTCCTAGATATTAGGTCAAATTACAGCATTTTCTTTGGTTCTTAGAAATAAACAAAAAAACAATTACCACTGAATGGCTTTTCAGATTGTCCTGGAAGAAGTGGATTTTCACATTGACATTGGCTAGGTTCAGAATCACATTTATATTCATTACCTAATCCTTTATCACCACTCAAGAAATCTGAAATGTTTGAGGGTTCAAAAGAATATTCGAAGCAATCTAATTTACTCGTAAGTCGAGAAGTTCTTTGTGCCTGATAACTATGCCTTGGGGAACACTGCTCTTCTTTAAATATTTTATGAATCCTCTGGCTCTGTGTGTCAGGTAGCAAGTCTTGATTGTGGAGCCAGACTGGGTATTTGAAATCAGGTATACTAGTTATCCCTGAAACATTAAGGTCCGATTTCTGGCCAGTGAGCCACCTGGGGTAATTCTTTTCAAGATTGTGTTCTGAACTGTCCTTGAGAGATTTCTTGGAAGAAGATAAAGATGGTCCAGAAATACATTTATTAGTATTATTTACAAGTTTTAAGTTTTTTAGCCTACGAGACTGCTTTCCATTTACATTTCTGTTTGCTAAGTTATCCTCGCTCATGGCAGTGGGGGGTTCTTGAAAATGTTGATTCTTTTCAGTGTCCGACGAACCCAGTCTTCCAACGCCTCTCTTGGTTTTCTTGCTACTTCGGTGACCTGGTCCAACACAAGTAAAAGGAAATGATCCATCCGCTGGAAGTTTTAATAGATCATCAGTCGTTAAGCTAATGGAGTCTATGTCATTAGTAGTCCGTCTTCTGGAAGATAAGGAGCCTTTTCTGTGATCAAAATTTTCAAAAGCTAAAAAACAAAGCATAGTTCTGTTTATTTTTCCAGTATCAAATATAGAAATACTTCAAAATATTCTAAAGTAAATGAGAATTAAGAATTTAAGAACCATTTTTGCCACTGTCCTTTTATCTGCATTAAAGTGTAAAAGATACAGGTTGATAAAACAGGATGTGCTTTTTTATCTCACATCTCCATCCGTTTTAACTAATTTCTACCCTTTTCTCTCCAACCTCCTGAATTTTTCCATGTTCTTTAACTTACTGTTTCTTCAACTTTTTTCATCTAGACCTACCCAATGCACTAATGCACTCATATTATCCTGGTCACTCAAAACTAGCTGCAACACAGGGAAAAAATGTGTTTAGGTGGAAAAAAAACTGCTTTCTTGCCTACTAACTCTGCATTAACACACAGTAAGTAACTGTTCTAACTCTTCTTCTGGAATAGTGCCAACATCCTTCTAAGAGTTGAATGGAAACTTTTTCCATATGGCTATTCTGTAAGTGCTCAGTAATTGGGTTATCAACAGATGCATTTTCTAAATCTGTATTCATAAAAGCCTTACCAAGTAGAAACCCTTAACATGCCCTGGCTGGTGTGGCTTAGCAGATTGAATGCCAGCTTGCAAACCATAGGTTCACCAGTTCGACTCCCAGTCAGGGCACACATCTGGGTTGCTGGCCAGGTCCCCAGTAGGGGGCACATGAGAAGCAACCACACATTGATGTTTCTCTCCCTCTCTTTCTCCCTCCCTTCCACTCTCTCTAAAAATAAATAAATTAAATTAAAAAATAACCTCTTAAAGTATTATGAATATTATTGCCCCATAGAATACAGATTGGGAAGACTACCATAACACTATGCCATCAACTGGAATTGACCAGGTATAATAAGAAAGACTGAGATTTGAAGTCATCAGGCAGTAAAGGAAAGCTAGAACCACCAAGTCAATGCTCTTTCCATTATGCGGTAATAAGATGGTTTAAGGATTAGAGTCAGCCACCTGCTATGATTCATCAGCTTCCCCTCCAAGGTCACAAGGAGATCTTAGCTGAAAATCTCTGAGAACCAGAAAATTACAGAATCTTTTAAGAAACGTATCCAGATCTCAATATTATAAAAGTCATTTTTACCTCAAAAGAACAAAGAAAGAAGCACATAGTTTTTAAAGACTATAACACATCTCTCAAATGCTTTAAATCAGTGGAAAGGAGGAGAAGGAGAAGAAGGAGCAGGAGGAGGGAGAGGAGGAGGAGGAGAGGGGAAAAAAACGTACCATTGTTTGGTTTATAAACATAGCTGGAGAATTCTGGCACATTAGCAGGGCATTTGTAAATGTTCATCTTTCCAGTGGTTACACCAGGACACATCTGGCTTAGATCAAAGTCATCAATATAGGCCTGCAGAGCCTGTGACGCAGAACTGTACAGTTTATCCTTGTACTGAAAAGAGCCATCAGAGTTAGAGGAATGACTACCACTCAGGCTGCAGCTTGCTAGCAAAGAAGATACTGAAGACTGCCGAGAACACACTCTGTGTTTTGTATTTGATTTTGCCATGCCTTCCTCAAAATGGATTATTTCTGTTCATTTCTCTTAGAAATAACTGTAATACAAAAACAAAAGATTAAGGTTCAAAGTAAAAGGAATAACAGCCACATGCAAAGAAATTACTAAATATGTAAACTTTTTATAATTTTCTTTTAAGAACAAAATCCATTTTCTATAAATCCTTTTTAGGCAATACACGTTATAATTTCTATTATTTTAATTACTATGAACTCTACCATTTATTTAGAAAACATTTATGGAGTACCTACTATGTACCTAGAATTAGACATACTAAAATTATCTGAGAATATGCATGGAAAGTTTCAAAGAAAGAGTGCTCACTTTTTAATTCCTAAAAACTACTGAAGTACAGACAGTCTTTTCTTATGTTGATATAGTTTATGACATCATAATACCTAACATTCCCCTATACAGATTTTTCAATTCATAAGCCTACCACCATGTACTGCAGATAGTACTCAATAATTTTTTTCATTCTATTTCTTCAATTGATTTTAGAAAGAGGAAGGGAAAGAAAGAGAGAGAGCGAGAGAGACATCAAATTGTTGTTCCACTTACTTATGCATTCTTTGGTTGATTGCTGTATGTGCCCTGACTGGGGACAGAACCTGTGATCCTGGCATATCAGCATGACTCTCTAATCAGCCTAGCTACCCAAACAAGGCTTGCGCAATACATTTTTAAAGGCATCAAATGAGGTATTAGAAACAAGAAGGAACAGGGGAGAATGTTATAAATGTCAATGGGTAACTTTATCCAACCCCTTCACCTAAAAAAGAGTTTAAAACAAAATATAAAGAAATAAACAAGTCATATCATAAGATGAACATGCAAAATGCTCTTTCCCTAAAACAATATTGTTAATAATAACTTCCTGACCTTCATTTTGGGACTCATTTTAAGAATATTTTATTCTTAAATACATTCAGTCCACCTCTCTTTTACAGACTTAAATAATTAGAAAACTGACAACGTATTCATCTTGTTTTTCCATTAGTAAAACTGAGGGAATGCCTATCTACCTTAGTATAGCAATAATAGGATCTATATTTGAAAACCTAAAAACAGAATGAATAGGCACTCTGTTCTTTTGCTATATTACATTCTTTTAAAATTAAATCAATGGATTTTCTGTACTAAAAATACGATGAATGTCTAGGACTTAACATGCTATGATGTTTAACTTTTGGCTGTATTTTGGAATATTTAAGTTACAATAACTTTTAATGCAATCTTAACTCTCAAAATTGACTTTATAATACTGAAAGTTTTCCATTCAAGAAAAAAAAGACAATAAAATGTCCTCCTGCCTCTCAGCCTAACAATATGCAACTGCCTTTGCAAGAGGGCCCAGAGCAGTGAGTGGAAGCAGCCACAGAACATAAGATCATGTTCAGCTTCTTTGATTCCCCCGAGTGCTGTGATATTGGTATACCAGGAAAGAATGGCTAGACTATCAGTCATGGTGGCCAAGACATGGAAACAGCCTAAGTGACCTCCTTCAGTGGATGACTGGATAAAGAAGATGTGGTACATACGTGCAATGGAATACTACTAAGCCATAAGAAAGGATAAAATACTGCCATTTGTGACAACATGGCTGAATCTCTAGAGTATCATGCTAAGTGAAATAAGTCAGAAAAGGAAAAAGAACTACATGATTTCACTCACACGTGGGCTATTAACCGAAAGCAACCAACAAAACAAACTCATAGACGAAGACAATTGTACGGTGGATTCCACAGGGGGAAGGGGTGAGGGGGTAGTAAAAGGTAAAGGAGGTCAAATACATGACAGAAGGAGACTACACTTTAGCTGGGGAGCACAGAAAACAATATAATTACAGAACTGTACACCTGAAACGTACATGTTATTAACCAATGTTACCCCCAATAAATTCATTAATATATATATATTTTTAAAAAAGAATGGCTAGATTAAGTCAGCTTTGCTCTCTTTATTCTACTCACCAATGATGTTTAAATTTTCTGAAACAAATACTGCTGGGATATTAAGTTTGACCAAACATTTTCTCCCTTATTCCAACACAGTACATGTAGGTTACTGGTTTTAATTTTACAAACCCTCAAAAACACAACAAAACCCTACAAGGCAAAGCTGATGGGTCATAGTTCTCAGTGAGTAATAACCTTTATCTTAATTCACAGGAGGCAAAACAAGAATAAAAACAAAAAATCCACAATTTAAGTTTTACTGTGTAGAGTCTCCAAAAGTACACACAAGTACAAAACTAAAATAAAATAAACCCCTATGCAGCTATCACCCTTCTTCAATTACCAACATATCCAAACGTTTTACAATGTCCACCCACTTCTCCCGCAGGCTTTGGAAACAAATCCCAAATGTCTTACCATTTCTTCCATACACACTCGTCCATAGCTGCACAAGGAAATCCATCATTCCGAACAAAACGTGAAACGAATGGCAAGAAATTTCAACTACCTTTGATTCAAAAACAATATTCCGTGTTAAACAACCAATGGGAATAGCTCAGAAGAAATGAACAGACCTTAGAAATAACAGCTCTTGGGGGAGGGGGGTACAGAGATCTAAATGGTAACAGAAAAAATATAATAAAGAAAAAAGACAGACGGCAGCTCTGTGATTTATGTGATGAAACCGAACATGTGTTTACAGCCTACAGCAAAAAGAATAAACCCAGAAAGCCAGGACCGTTGGCGCTCCCACACCAAAGCATCTTGTCCCCTCCGGGCGTTGAGTTCAAACCAGCCCCAAATCTAGGAAACGCCCTCCCTTCGGGACCCCAGCGATCACAGGCACAGGCTCCTCCGGAACATCGGGGCCTGCCGACAGTTAGCGCCAGGGGTGCGGGCTGAGCTCCTCGAAGGGACGGTCCCAAACGCCTACGCCCCCAACCCCCACCCCGGCTTCAGTCGACGCCTCCAGTCCCCTCCGCCCAGTTCCGCGACCCTCCCCCGCCCGGGGACCCTCCCCCTAAAGTTGCCCCTTCCCGCAAGGACACCCTCCCTCCCGCAGGAGACGTCTTCCCCTTCGTTCCCCGCCACCATCCTTTAGCCCATCCCTCGGGCTGTCAAAGGATGGGACGCCCCTCGAAAACGCACCCCCTTTTCGGGTGGAACTCGCAGAGGAAGATCCACAAAGAAATAAAAGAGCACACTTCCACACTCGCAGCCCAAAGCCCAGACCTGTACCCGGAGCGCAGACGCGACAAAGCGTCCCCGATGCGAACAGAGCCGCTCCAGAACCGCTCGATCGCAGCATCCTCCGCCGTCACAGCGGAGCGCGACGCCCGCGCAGGCTTTCAAACTGACCCGACTTTGCACCGGCTCGCCGTGCGCGTGCGCAGTGCTCGGGCGCCGGCTGGGGACCGCTAGGGACGCGCGGGCCGGACCGGGGCGGGGAGCCCGAGGGCAGGGGGACGCCGCGGGGCCTGAGGTCGCGCTGCCTGCTGGGAAGTGTAGTTTCTCCCTCCTCATCTCTCCTGGCTGGAGTTCTGAACTGCGTCCGCGGAGTCACTGCCACTCCGCGCTGGTGACAGGCTGAGCGTGCTGCGGCCGGCTCCCGGAGCCCAGTGAGGGGACTCGGTAGGGACACTCGGGGTGCTTGCGTCTGACGTTTCGGTCCCCGGGAGTCAGCTCCACCTCCCCAAGGAAGCTCGGCCCCCCGCTTTCGGAGCACCCGGCTCCCAGGGTAAGACACCCTCTGGGCCGGGGGCACACCCCGAGACCACTGCCTGCCCGGCCGGCCCTCCTGGGCTTCCAGGCAGCCCCTCCCGCCCGGAGCCGACCGACGCGGGGTGGGATTTAACACACTCCCTGGGGGCCCGTGACGCCCGGGAAGTGTGGCAGTGACCCAGCGCGGACTGGGGCCCCAGTCGGGCAGTGACCCAGCGCGGGATGGACTCCTGCAGAAAGAGACTTCCAGTAGGTAAATTCAGACAAGGAAAAGCAGAAATCAGAGATGGTTGATTCGTGGCATGTACATTAATTCAGTGTACATCATTTCACAAAACCCTTACGTTTTAATGTTTGCTAAATGATTGTATATTAACATGTAAACACTTTATATTGGTCAGATACAAACTTCTCAGTATAAGAATAAACATATGAAGGAAGTCAAAATAAATACATTTTATATCTGTATTCCTTAAGTTTTCTCTGGTGAATTAGAGAACTAAAACAAAGTCACAATTTTTTTTTTGCATTAATGGACTGGATAATTGGTGCAGATGATGACCTATGAATGTATGGCCACAACTTTATTTTCACAGCAGGAGAGAACAAACCAAACCAGAGAACGATTATTACCCCAGATCAGCTGCTGGCAGGGACTCTGGTCGGGAAGCTGCAGAGCCCAAAAGGCGCTCCGCAGGCAGAGTCCCCTTCCTGTGTCTTGTCAACTTTCCTTTTCCACTGGGAAGAAATACGTGAGACGAAAGCTGAGATCTGGACATTCCATGGAGGGTGGTAACTCTGCCCACTGTCCTGCTGGAGAAAAGACGTCGTGGTCTCATTCATTGTCTCAGAGACAGGCACTGACAAAAAAGGGGTTCTTTTGTTCCTTCTCCTTCCTTGCAGCCCAGCATTTTCGACAGCCAGAATTTGTGAACAAGTCATGTAGTCAACTTACAAAACGTATCGATAGTGAAGGGACTCTCCAGTAAATGTAGGAAAGGCTTTCGTGAGCGTACAGCCCTAGCAGACTCAAATAGAGATTTAAGACCTCACAGACTGCTACTGGGTATTCTCAGTCCAGCATTTGAAGCGCCGTAAAAATAGTCTGAACTCTGCACCGAGACAAGTATAACAAAAAGGATACTCCTGTGACATGTTGGAGCAGTGGTCTCCATACCCCTAAAAAATTGTGTACAACTATATCCTGGCCCCCAGTTAGACCTGGTCTCTGGGACTCATTCCCTGACTCATTGTTCTGCACAGCTTTTCGTGACACTAGCTGAGATGGCCTCCCTTTCCTTCCCCCTTTTCTGTTCTTTCTGGAGAAACGATCCTTGTTTGCAGCTGATTAACTTCCTCAGGCTGCTGTCTACCCCAGAACAGCCCCAGGGCTAAGAGACATTTTTATAGGTTCCTCCATCTTTAGCCTGGCAGTTGGTGTCTTTGCTAGTACCTCTCTCGTTCAAACTTGGAGCTCTCTGTTATCTGGTTATGGTCCATTAAGAAGTGGTATCAACGTATGCTTTTCTAGATTTTCTCACTGCCACTTTTGGATCAGGCTCCTTAGGAAGCACAACCTTGGGGGCTTTTGACTACTTGAAAAGATCTACTCAACATCACTTTAGCTCCCGCAGAAGCTTTATCACACTGTCTGATAGTCACAATCTCGATGTAGGGTGTGTGCTCCCGTCTTACTTTGAGACTTTGCTCTCTGGGTCACTAGCAATAAGACGGCAGTTTTATTCTCCAGGTTAGCAGCTCTGGCTCTCTAGAATACCTTTAGCTTCTGCTTGCAGCCTAACCAGAGTTTTTGTTTGGTTTTTGTTTTTGTTTTAAAGCTCAACTCTTTCTGTAGCACTTCAGCCTATGCAGCTAAAATCCACCAGGTGGCACTTTCTACATTTTACCTGGCCATATCCTTGCCCAAAACCAAAGTTCATTAGGTTTATTTTCTGTTTTCAAGGACGTACAGGCAACTGTTTTATCAAAGGTTTCATAACAGCTTCTTAATAAAACAGTTTCTTTGCCATGATTCCATCGTCTGCTAACAATTTTCTAAACTCCCTACTGCTCCAAAGCTAGCACTATACATTTTAGGTTTTTGTTGTATAGTTCTCCACTTTCAGGTACCAACTTTTGTAGCAGTTATCTATTACTGAAATAATGCCACAAAACAACATGTCTTGGACTCAAAAAGACTATATGATCATCATAAAGTTATCAAGCATTTACTCTCAATATTCAGATCAACCATCAATTTCCTCCCCTACTTAATAGTCAATAATTGTTTTCTACATACAATAGCATTCATAATCATTGATTAATGAATTTTACTTTGAAATAATCATTTAAATTTATACTTTGATGGAATTATTAGAGAAAGCTCATGATATTTTATTTGGTAGAATCTGAAATGCTTACCTCTATTTGAAAGTGAATACACAAATGCTAATAATAAATCTAAATTAATGCCTTATTTTTGAGTGGATTCATTAACACTATTAGATATGATGGTAACCTGCATAATCACATGATAATTTCATACACAATTTTAGTAATGCTATAAATGACCCTAAACTAGTTGATTATACAGTTACTTCATGGGCAAATAACTGAATTTGGCTGAATACCAAGGCTAAAGCTAAACTTTGGTATATCCATAAATATTCAGATAGTAGGAGTATATACATCCCAATTCTTTTTACTGTTAGGCTGTTACATCAAAAAAGTTTACAATGAACTAGAACATGATAGTTTGGCTAAATCTAAAGATGGAATGTTCTACTATTAATATCTTTAATTTTTCTATCAGCATGTCTGTATCCACATTTGTTTACATAAGTCAACTACAGGCTGAATTTTATTACAGTCCAAGTTTGTAGTGTGGGACAAAAAGAAATTGCCACTGACACAAATATACTATAGTACTCACTTTTTTAAAAAATTTAATACATATTTTATGCACCTGTGTATATGCAAACAGATACACACACACCAAGTAGACGGATTCCGTGTATTGGCCTGCCTACCTCCATTCCACCTTGCTTCTAATTAGAGAGGATGGAACACTGAGAAAAACACGCATCCCAGGGGTTGACTGCACCTAGTCTTCTGGTTGCAAATTAGGTTACACCCACTGGCTGAAGTCTTGTGAGAGCTGAAGGCAGAGAGCACTTTTCTTTTTTTGTTGTTCATTTTTCTGTCTACGAAAGACAAGAAGTGGTGAAGCTTTTTTTTCTGAGTTCCAGTGTCTGCCTGGCAGATCTTGTGTACCACGGTCTGTCAGAGATGGGTGCATCAAAGACAGAGGAGCAGCAGCTTCCCGAGGAGCCCTGGTTCCTGATAACCAGTGGCAGTTGTGGGTAACTGTTTTCCAGGCTTCTAACGGCTTATTGATTCCAGCTTCTTGAGTTCGTAGTTCCACTGATGGGTTCAAAAGAGACAGCTTATGTGGACTGCTTCCGTCTGGTTCCCAGACTGGCTTCTGGAGTCCAAGCCCAGAACCTTCAGCGCTGCCGTGACTTTGTAAGCATTTAATTCACTAAATTAAATTTTTTATGCTTAAAATATCTATAGAAGTTCCATTTTCCTGGCCAAAAGAGCATTTGAAAGTTTAGTTTTCTCAAAGGATTTTAACATATTTTAAAAATACTTTATTAGTAATATCTTTTTTTTTAAAGATTCTTTTTAAATTTATTTATTTTTAGAGAGGGAAGGGAGGGAGAGAGAGAGAGAGAGAAACATCAATGTCCGGTTACTGGGGGCCATGGCCTGCAACCCAGGCATGTGCCCTGACTGGGAATCGAATCTGCGATGCTTTGGTTCACAGCCCGCACTCAATCCACTGAGCTACGCCAGCCAGGGCTAGTAGTAATATCTTAATGTTTGATATATCTGATATGTAATAAGTGCAATTGAGGAAAGATAGGAAGGATACCCAAAGTATTACACCAGATTATGAGAGCCTCACCTCTATACATCAAAAACAGGACTCTCTTTGTAAACCAAAAGTGAGACATCGTCGTTAACATGAATCAGCTTCACAGGAGGACAAGGTTATATGTGGAGATTACAGGAAAAAGCAGCATTGGTGACACCGTAACAGGATGAAAGTGCATTCTGCACAGCTGAACAATTTACTTACATGTGGGGATGGTATGCAAAAGAGAGGACTGTAATAAGAAGGCAAAACAAAGAAATCTGAGTCTGCAGATGGAAGACAGCACCCTGGGCTCAAGGATGGTAACGGGGATGAGACTGACCCAGAACCTCGCAGGACGATTCTCTCAGTGAAGCGGTGACCTATGCGGACGACATAATCCCACTACCAAATAAAAGACAAAACTAATGGGGTGGGACAAGGGGATAGGAGCACCCTCTGGGAATTTCATGTCCACTGTCTGCCCAAATCTAGGGTTTAATTTTCAAAATTAAAAATTAAAATGGTCCCAGTTGTAGGAGGGGGCAGCCAGGGGGCCCCCAAAAGAAGGATTTGTAATGGGGTCCAGAACTCAAGGTGTCCAGGAAATATTAGAAAAATATATAAGGTATCCTCACCCCACTCCCCCACAAGTCTGAGCTGGGGGATGGGACACATTGGGCAGGGCCATTGAGAGCTGTTTTGCATAGCAACAGCTTTGCAGCTAACCTCTGGTGTGGTCATTTAACATATCTATAACCTTGAACTGGTTTCAGAGATATGTTAAATAGCTGTAGCCATGCTTTGAGCCACAGAGAAGGGGGTGACTTCCACCCAGGATGTAAATGGGAGCAACTCCCCCTGGTTACAGCACCTGTGTGAGAGCTTGGAGATGGTTGGCTCCACGCCATGGGGCCACACCTGCCCAGACCCATTATGGCAGCTCAGTAAAGCTGGAAGGATATGGGAGTGCTGGCAAGTGTAGCCAAATATGGGAGGAGTCGGAAATGGGGCTGCAGAGGAAGACTGGTGCGGGGATTTAAACCCAAACGTGGCAGCCCTTGAGAGGAGAACCACTCACTTTTGGCAGAGTGGGGGCCTCTGCAGCCTTGGTGAGGGAGAACCACGTGGCTTTGGCCAGAGTGGGGACCTCCTGTAGCCATGAAAAGAATCACCATGCAGCTTTAGCAAAGAACCACCACTCGGCTTTAGCTGGAGATCCTGGCTACACAGCTGATGGTGCTGGGAACCAAGGGAGGCCTACCAGCCGAGATGGATTACTGAGAAGAACCAGGGGCTGCCTGAACTGCGGACTTCTATTTCTTTTCCTGAGATACGGTACCATAGACTGGGCAAAGGGAGGAAGGAAGGACTGTGTGTGTTTGTGGGTGTTTTAAGGGACTTTGAGATTTTGATGAAGACATTAAGTCATTACTCTTAAGTTTGTATAACTTGGATAAATAATGCCTTTCCTTTTCACCAGTCTCTAACATGGAGAGCTATAATTCTCTGGTGAAGGGAAAGGTGAACCTAATACAGGGGGACCCGAGAAGGGGGGGTCAATTCAATAATATTGTGGGCCCTTCGTCCCTGGCGGCCAATCAGGGGAAATCATGGGAGACCACATGTGCAGTAGCTTTAACATACTACAACTACTTGTGCATGCGCAGTAAAAGCCCACCAAAACTAGCCAGGAAGGATCTGCCCTGTAAGAATAGAGTCCCTCCAGTCCATGAGGTCAATCTCTGCTTGGAGCTGGCCTGCTCCCATGTTCTCTGCTATAAACTCTGCGTGTTCAGTTCAATTCTTTGTGCTGATCACCAAGAACCTGGTTACCTGTGCCCACCTGTGACATAGCCGTGTTTCCCCAAAGTGCTGGCAGAAGTGCAAATATTCTAGGGAGGGACACATGGTTCCCAGACCTTATAGGAGCCCCACAAACAAAGCCCAGCAAATGGGAGCCCACACCCCAAAATCACAGGACAAGTGAGGAAAAAGGCCAGTGTGAATAGGTTGCCAGCAGAAATGATCAGATTCTTAGTGCCACACTCTTAAAAAAAAAAAAGCAAATTCACATACAAGGAAATCTTTGTGAGTTCTATCACTACATCTTGAGAGAGATGTGAAAATACTGTATCCAATAAACAAGAATAGGATGCTATAGAAAGGAACATTTAGAGAAGAAATTACTCTTAAAATCTATGACTGAGGCCCTAAAATTGCCGCAGCTCACTTATCTCAAGTTTCCAGGGTGCACTATTGGGAGAAGAGAGCCAGAGAGAACATAGCAGCCTGTGAATTGAGCAGAGCCGGGAGTCCAGAGACACGAAAGGGGCTGGAGTTCACAGCGCAGAGTGCTGGAGAAGAGAGAGTCTTGTACCGGTCAGTGTAAGAAATGGCACAACTGTGGGGAGGAACCACTTGAAAGGTGCAAAGGGAAAAATCTCCTGAGCCCACAGAGGACCAGAAATATTTCATATTATGACAAGTCAAGAGAAAAATACCTCATGAGTCACAGGGCACATAGGTCTTCAGAAGGATTTTGTCTTAGTAATAAGGTAATGTTCCTAGAATGAATGCTGCTTTGGTCATATGCAATAAAATAACTTCTTAAAACTACCAAGAAAAACTCATAAATATTTATTTAAAAAACAAAAACAACCATTATCCAACAAGGTAAAATTCACAATGTCTACCATACAATTTAAAAAAATCACCAAGCATAGAGAGCAGAAAAATATGACCCGTAATAAAAACAAATCAATAGAAATACATGCAGAAACAAGCTATAGAAAGACAATTTAAACAACTTAGTAATTGATTAATATTTCATATGTGCAAGAGGATAGAGAAAAATTGAACATATTAAGTAGAGACACAAAAGATACAAAAACAACACAATTCAGGTATCCAGAGAAATAAAATGCCTGAGAGGAAAACTACACTGAATAGAAATAACAGATGAAATATTGTGGAAGACTAATTAGTGAACTTGAAGATGAAGCAATAAAAACTACAGGGAAAGAGAAGAATGAAAAAAACCGAGCAGAGCATCAGTGAGCTGCATGTTTAAAACATGATAAAAATAAGCCTGGTCACTGGATACGATAAAAAATACTGCACATCTCCAAAGACAAAACTGAGTATCTTAAAACAGCCCAAGAGAAATCAATTCTAAATACACAGTGCTAATGACATTAATTTCAGAACGTAAAAACTATTCTACTTTGAAGGGATGTCTGAAATGCAAGAAAAAAGGTGAGCCAAAAATTAAGTGGGCAAACCTAAAGAGTATGTAAAATAATATCCAATTTGTAGATTAAGAACTAGAGGGATTTGACTAGAATTAATATATTTTAACATTCTTGTGTTTGCCTAGAGGGTAAAGATATTTACCATTTTTAGAGGTTAAGCATGTTAAATTTTTATAGGGAATCAAAAGTACAATACTTAGAACGTATAAATTTCAAATCAGAAGATGAAAACACTGTAAATAGAAAGCTCAGTCAATCCAAAAAAGAAGACAGAAAGGGGATAAGGATGGGAAAAGCATAGCATAGAGCAAGGCAAAAATAGGTAGCGAATAAGATGGAAAAAATACATCCAAGTAGACTTTTCCTCCCACACCATGGGGGGACAGATGTAAGAGTCCCCCCAGTACGAAACAGACTTTGCAATTCATTGCTGGTTGTGCTGCTACGTAAGAGAAATTTCTAAGCTCCATCCCTCTACCCTCAGACGAGGAAGGGGAAAAAGCTGAAACAAAAGCAGGAAAAGAGCAGGAAGCATCAGGCAAACAGCTTGGGAGGTAGAGCTTACCCTAAAGGCAAATGGCCTGCAATTGACCTCTGGAGAGAAAACCTTAGGACAGTGGCAAGGTCAGGCAGCTCAAAGGAAGGCTACTACAGACAGCGAGACTGGACCAAGAAGGGGCTGAAGTGGTGCCAGTGGGCTGGCACTGCGCCCCACTGGAAGCAAACGCAGATCATACTGGAGGGAAGCGTCCCCAGTTCAGGTCCTTTGTCTTCCCACAGTTAAGTTGAGCCACACACGCAAACAAGTTAAAATAATACACACCAATATCAGAAAATTCAGACTTACAAAAACTTAAGTTGGTGTTGAAATAATCATAGACTATAAAATATGAGTTTTATAAGGAATATTAGAAAAAGAATCAAATGAAAAATATACTTACTAAAAGTCATCATTAATGTTTTAAATAGTAGGTCAGCTATTAATGGAAAACAAATCAGTAAACAGAGCTGATGAAATTAGCCAAAATGTAGCAGATAAACAGGGGACATGTAGCAGAGATTAAGGGACGTGAAGAACAGAAAGGCCCACCATTTCTGCCGTCCAGAGTCCTAGAATAGTGAGGCAGTATTGGAAGGGCTAGTGACTAAGACTTTTATAGAACTAACATGAATTGAAAGATACAGGGTGCCAGCATATATCAAGAATAAGTAAAAATAAACTCACACTTCCAAACATACATTTGTACAACAGCAAAGAAAAAAAGATCATTTTATTAAAAGCTGGTAAGATAAACAATAGTCATATACTGATTTCTGGCTGAAATAATTGTAAGGATTATTGGATAATTTTAAAAAATGAATTATCTAAAAAAGTGATGAACTCCTTTTATGGGTTTAACCACCTTATCAGAATACTACATGTAGAAACTTCTCTAGTCCTTGATCCACAGCACTAAATATCTGCATGGTTGAGTAACTTCTGATGTTCTTGCTACAAGTTACTGTTTTGGATAACCTCAAACTCCCTGTTAAAGATCCTTGGTGGTTAGGGGATTTTCAAATTTCAAAAAACCTGAAATGAAGTTCAAACTCCTTACCTAGAAGAAAGTACTTTTAGGCTAGTCTTTATTCACATTTGTGTACTTTATTTTTGTCTTTAAATTATACATGCAAATGTTATAAACAGGACTCCTCCAAACAGTGCTACATAATGCTTGGGTGTGTTCTGGAAACATTCTTTATGTCTTACAATCACAAGATGTCCACAATCTTATATCTAACTTTTGATCTGGCAGGCAAAAGGTGAAGGCAGTAACAATGGGAGAAAAAGGACATCCATCAATTTAGTAACTGTGTATTTGTTGTGTGACATTCTGAATCTCACCTCCCAAATTTGGGAAGATGCAAAAACATGTAATCCAGTTCTTAGATCTCACAGACTGGCCAGAAGGAAATGGACTTCTTCCACTATCTAGAACTCTTCTAGATCCTCCACTTTGCACTTCAGGTGTCCATCCTTCCCTTAATCTACCTGCATGGAAGGTTCCTTCTCCTTCTCCATGACATGTAAATACACTCCCTGCCACGCAATTCATTTACTCAGTAGTTACTGAGTGCCCTCTGTGTGCCAGCCATGATGGTAGGTGCTAGGTGTAATAAGAGACATTAACTGAATATGCATCACTTTGGTAATTTTTTAAATTAACTTAATGGTACACAGTACTTTGAAGCTATCTACATTTTTTAATCAGTAAGTCGGTCATAGAACTTATCTGGCTGTTTCTTTTTTTTAAAAAAGGTTTTATTCATTTATTTTTGGAGAGGGGGGAGGGAGAAAGAGGGAGAGAAACATGGATCTTCAAGAGAAACATTCATCATTCATTGGTTGCCTCTCACATGCCCCCTGCTGGGACCTGGCCTGCAACCCAGGCATGTGCCGACTGGGAATCGAACCTGCCACCTTTTGATTCTTGGGTTGGCACTCAATCCAATGAGCCAAACCAGCCAGGACTATTCAGCTATTTCATAATGGGCTCAATTTTCACAGGAAAAAAAAAGTTCTTTGCTATAGCATAGCAATGATTTGGTCAATCTATTTCTTATATGCTGGCATATATACCTTTCCTCTCAATATATGAGAAATGTACCAATGCTTACCAAAGTATTTTTTATTGAAAAGCAATATAAAATAGTTTTAAAAATAAGAGGAAGGTAATGTTACACATTACTTCTTCTGTTATAAATTTTTATACTTTGTGCCACAATTTACTTCCCATAGGTATTCTTGCTTTATTTGGAACATTTTATATTGGATTGCTACATTATTAAATATCTATTAGTGTTTAATTCAGATGAGCTTTAACGTCTTTCCCTTGCTTTTTAGACCTTTTTTCCTCAGCATGCCTATTTATGTACATTGTGGAACTCCGATCCTCTTCTCTTCCAGTCAGCCACCAGCTCTTTTTGTACCTCTTCTGGGAGTTCGTAGAAAACTTCAGGGTCAACGTCAGAAGGAAAAGTAACTTTCTCAGCTGAAGAACTTTGCTCTCTATTTTCTGCAAGTCCTTCATGATGAGGCACTGTTGCTGTCGGTAGCTTATGGCTATCTGTAGTGAGGTTTTTGGAGAAAAGTTGCTCACTCTGTGAATTTGGAAGTGAATGGAAAATAGATACTGTGGGGTTTGTATTTGGAAAGCAGAATCCTTGAGATTCTTTAGGTCCTTGATCCAATCCTTCAACTTTTAATCTACTGTCTAGAGAATGTGAATAATTCTTTTGGCTAGACAGATGAGAGGAACTACTGCTATTTAAGCCTGAGGTTCCTGGTTCACAGGGAGATACAGAGAGCATCTGTTTGCTATTAGATAAATGATCGCTAGGATTTAATGGACTTTCTTGGATTTGTTTTGTAGAAAAGAAAGATAATATTCCTCTGGAGGCACGTAATGGACAACTCAAACTTCCTTTCCCTTGAACCTTTTCTCTAGATTTTCCAGAAAGGATTTCTTCTTGAATATCTACTGGAAGCTGCTTAAAGACTTCTTGGTCAATACCCTCAGGAAGTGAAGAGAGTGGAAATTCATCGCTGTCTCCTTTGGAAAAATTTATAGTATCTAGTGGAGACTTTCCAGCTCTTGTACTTTCAGTTCTTCCAGTTGGTAGAAAATTCCAATTTGTTTCTTTGTCTTTGGAAAAATCCTCCATATGAGTATCTTTCATTTTCTAGAATACAGGAGAACAGAATAATTTAGATAGCTAATATCTGTAAATATTCATGCTGCTAAAAAGTATGACTATACCTGTTATCTGACAGATGTGTTTCTATCCTACTCAGTAACTTCAATCCGTACTGCCTGTTCTAGACAACTGGAGATGATCAGCCCATCACAACTAGTCACACTACTGTGTGGATGTTTACTCACTACTCTAGGAAGAGGCCTCCTTCCTAAATAGCACTGACCCAGAAGGTAGGTATGCATTTAGAAACACGGAAAGGATCTTAATCATGTATCCACACTTGTAATCCTGTGAGTAGAAGAATGGCCTAGAAAAGTAAATGATTAACCCAGCGGCATCTAAGTATTTAAATACATACACACACATGTACATATATATTTACTTGATGCATAGATCATCAAGGACTAGTTTTCTAAAAGTCCCTATTCTAAATTGTTGTCATTTAACAAGAAAAAAAATACTTCTATGGTAAAAATCCAACACTATTATTATGGTATAACACTTTTTAAAATTTTTTCTTAATTTTAATTGTTGTTCAAGTAGGTATAACACTTTTTAAAAATTAAATTTAATGGGGCGACATTGGTTAATAAAATTATATAGGTTTCACATGTACGATTCTATGACACGTCATCTTGATACTGCACCGTGTGCCCGCCACCCAAAGTCAACCTCCTTCCACCATATAACTGATTCCCTTTACCCTGTACTACCTCTTCTTTATGTAAATAAAATAAAAGTGTAAAAACACCTTCAATTCTAACCTGTATAATTTTTATGTAAACTTTTCCACTTCAATTTCTATCTAACTTTAAGCATCATAAAAATGTATACATAGTCAAATATGACTCAGGAAACATCAACGCAGTAATTGCAAAAACATGAAAGGAGAAGAGATTCAGGCCATGTATTTACTGAGTATCACACACACACACAAGGTACTTTCACTTATATCTACCTCTGTAATACTACTGTAAATTATAGACCTTTAATTCTCATTCTGTAAGTTAAAAAGTAAAAAGTCAACACCATTTAAAATTTCAGTTAATAGATGGAATAAAATTGGTCAGAAGACAAAGTAATTTAAAGAGAGCACTAATTCATTCTTTCTACAACACTTCTGTTTTCATTTTAAACTTAAATGTAAATAAAATATTACTAAAATTATACTGACTGATTAAACAATAAAAATAAAGAAAATAATGAAAATGCTTTAAGAGTTCATTGTAGGTATGGAAAATTTAGTAAAAGATGATTATTTTTTTTAAGCATCCCACATTTAGTAAATAGAGGTGTGCCAGATGGCCATATACAGGGTTTTGTTTTAGTCGTCTGACAATACGACAACTGTAAAGTGAGTGGTCATTTTCTATCAATTTTGCTATTGGAGTGTAATTTAATTTCAAAACCAAGCAAATTTAAATGCTTTAACAAAACACAGAGGGGTTGCTAAACAGAAAATCTCTATAATGGTTTTCTTTTAATATCCAGCGACACTTACCTTTCTTTCTTGATCACAGCACGATACACGTGAGGCTAGCTCTGCAGTACACTAGGTATAACATACCTGGAAGTCCTTCCAAAAACACAGCCCAAAAGAAACTCCAAATTACATCAGTTAAACACAAACTGAAATTGTAATTTAACTACACAAATCCAACAACAGAGTACTTACAAAACTGCGCTTGCCGGAGTGTGTCGTTGTTGATAATGACGGTGTTAAGTAATAATCGATAGTCCCTTTCTTAGCAGTGTTTACTGCTTTAAGGTTGCAGAAGCACACATTTAAAAGGGTTAGATGAAATGGCATCTTCACATTCACCATGTTTCGAAAAAGTTTCATGATTATATCAACCATTGGGGTCATCGCATCATAAGTACCTAAATAAAATGTTTAAGAAGACAGTATTGATATCTAAACTCATTATATAATAATTAGTATAAAGAGCTTAATCTAATTTAAATTAAAATCCTAAATAGATTATCATTGGGACATCTTGACAATATACAGACACCTGGGACATCTCAACATCAATACTAAATGTCAAACGAGGACAAGTTTTCAGATTTGACATACGGGATATCTGCTTATGGCAGAGGGATGATGTCAGCAAATCTCCCCACTGAACTATAATAAAAGTGAACAAGACTGTCAATGGCAACCATTTAGAGCACCTGGAAATGAACCAAAGGCAACTAAAGCGAGAAGCACTGATTTATGAAACACTGCCGGTGCTTAGGCAGGAAAGGAGGAGAGAGCAGCCTATGCTGGGGTTGTTCACACCTCCCTTTACACAAGTCAGCTGGTGCAGGAGTTCTTCCAGGGTGAGGCTGGCTGATGCCAGAGAGAACACAACTGGTTTGTAGCGGGGGGCAAAAGCTCACACCCAGCAGAGTGACTAGTGAAATGAACAAGGTTGGTGGGAAACAACTGGAGAAGCCACACAGCTCTCTAGCCTGAGGCCACAGTGGTGGCTGGGGTGAGTGAAAGATCAGTGGATCAGCCACAAATTTAACCAGGCGACGTGGAAATGAAAACCACCATAGAAAGACTGTGTAAACTGTCTTTGTGACCCCAGGTGATTGGGAGGCAGCATGCTCAGGGAGGGAAGGGCAGAGAGGGCCAAGCTCTCCACGTACATCCCTGACTAGGACAGAAAGGCAAGAGGGCCTAGCAGGAAATAAAAGCCAGGGCAGACCTGACATGGCCTAAACATTCAAGTGCTCTCCAACCCAGGCACACATCGGCTGACAGAAGGGAGAAGCCTCCCAGGCTCTAGCACTGGAGCCAGCAGTGGCTAACCACCAAACTGGGCAGACACTGGTATAACTTCCTAGGAAGCTAAAATAAAACATTTAAATTTAAAATTAAAAAGCTGAGCAGAGAAATCAGGGCAATACATCATAAGAAAGGGTATACCCTGCAGCTCAAGTCCAGACAAGTTACAAAAAAAAATTTTAAAGCCTACATGAAAAATATCCAGAATTGCTGCAATACATTACCTAAAATACCCAGTTTTCAACAAAACATTACAATATATGCGAAAAGAATGTGATTGATTCAGGGAGAAAAAGCAGTTAACAGAAATTAACTTTTAGAGTCAGATTTATCGAAGACTTTGAAGCTGCTATTATGCGTATATTCAAAGAATTAAAGAAAACCATTTTAAAGAATTAAAATATAACTGCCAAAAGGGGAATCTCAATTAAATAAAGATCACACAAAGGAAAATCTAGAGTTAAAACGTAATCAAAATAAACAAAACCACTAGATGGGCAACAGCAGTTTTGAGATGACAGATTAATCAGAGAATTTGACAACTGAATGGAAATTATCTGATCTAAAAAGAGAAAAAAAGTCTCAAGAAATATGAATAGAACTCACATACCTGTAGGTCATTTTCAAGGATACTGACATATGTATAATGAGAGTCCCAAAAGGAGAAAGAAAAGAGAAGGAATACTTAAAGAAGTCAGAGTCAAAAACTGCACAAATTTCATCAAAATATTATTCTACAGAATCAAAAAGCTCAATAAATCCCAAGTAGGATAAACACAAAGAGATTCCACACTCACACGTCCTAGTCAATCTGCTGACACAGAGACAACTAACTCGTCACATAAAGGAGAGTGAGAATACAACTATACCTACTGACACATTATTGCCTTTCAGCTCCAAATTCACCCTTCAGTATGTGCTCAGTGTTAATGGGTTGGACTCTCAATTTTTTTTACATTGAACATGTTAAACTTTGTCAGTAGAGAGCACTGGAGGACCATTAAAGAAGAAAATGGGCGTCTCTTCCTGGTTCCAATGTACTGCTATCTACTTTTTCTTGCTCCTGTACATCGTCCGTTTGCAGTACATGTGTGTGGTGCACTCAGTCCCTTAGCAACCTCAAGCCCTAACCCCAGCCTAGTGACCACGTTACCATGGCACTACCAATTCAAACACTGCACACCCCAGGCCAGTGCTGTCAACAGAGCTCCAGCTCCTTCTGCATACCCGCCTGACAGCCTTGACCTGCCTACGTTCTGAAGGGTTGTTTCCTCCCCCTCTTCCTATGCAGGCACCATACCCTCCGACTCTGTGCTAGCAGATTCCTTCGGCACAGCCACCACCAGCCTCCCCTTGCCTGCATGCTGGAGGGCTGTTGACAGATGCATTCCCCACATAAACACTGCATACCCCAGCTCAAGCATTGCCCTGCTAGTGAGCCATGCCCAACATTCAACTCCTCCTGTGTGCCCACCCACTGGCCTCAGCTCATCTGTGAATCAGTGTGGGTGCTTCTCTCTTTGCCCCGTAACTATGGATCTCTGGGCCAGGCAACTCAAAAGGATTTTCCCACAATCCAGTGTTCTGCAGCCACACCTTCTCTTTGAGAGGTAGGAGAACTCCCTTTCTAAGTTTGTCCTTCCTTGGGTACTTCTCCTCAGCCCTTAATACATCATCTTAGAGTTCTCTTGATGCCTTCAGAGTCAATCCCCGATCTCAGTTTAATAATTCTGTGAAACTTTCCCATTCTAATTTCTGTGTGGTTTATTCTCTCCTGAGTGGTAGGAGACTGATAAAACCATTAACAGCTGACTCCTTGTCATAAATTTTATTACCAGGCAATAAAATTTGGCTCAATAAATTTGCAGGACTGAAATTGCTCAAAATATATTCTCTGATAAACATGAAATTAAAGTAGAAATCAATATAACAGAAAGAAATACGGGAAATCATCAAATATTTAGAAATTATGGAACAAATTTCTACATAAATTTAGGGGTCAAAAAAGGAATCAGAGGGATATGAAAAACTATTTTGACCTTAATGGAAAAGAAAATAACAAAATTTATGGAATACAGCTAAAGCACTGCTTAAAAGGAAATGTATGACGTTCAGCTTGAATTATTGGAAAAGAAGATAAGTATAAAATAAATAATGTAAGCTTCTATCTTAAGAAACAAGAGGGAAATGACAAACCTAAAGCAAGCAGAAAGAAAAAATAACAAAGATCAGAACAGAAATAAAACAAAGTATAAAAACACAACAGAGAAAACAACGACAATGAAAGTTGGATTTTAAAAACGATCAAAACAAGTTAACAAATCTTTGCTAGAATGACAAAGGAAAAAAGAGAACACACAAATTACCAGAACCAGGAATGAGAGCAGAACATCACTACGGACCTTACAAAAATGGAAGAATTATAAAGGAATATTAACAACTTCATCACAACAAATTAGACAATTTGGATGAAATGCATATATTTCTAAAAGATACAAATTGCTAAAACAGACTCAAGAGAAAAAGAAAATCTGGATAAGCTTTTAACAAACAGAGAAATCAAATTCCTAATTTAAAATCTTTCTACAAACAAAAGCCCAGGACCATGAATAGCCAAAACAATTTTGAAAAAATTAAAACTGGAGACCTTACGCTATCTAAGTTCAAAAGTTACAACAAAGTATCAAGACAGGGAAGAATTGGTATGAGAATAAACATATAGATCACAGAATATGAACGTCAAGAAATAAACTTTTACATTTATGGCCAACTAGTTTTTGACAAAGGCGCAATGACAATTCAATGGGAAAAGAATAGTCTTTTCAATAAATTTTGGTGGAACAAATGGATACCCCATGCAAAAGAAGGAACTAAGACCTTTATTACCTTACACCACACAAAAATCACTCAAAGTGGATCTAAGTTTAACGCTTAAAACTTGAAAATCTCTAAAAAATATAAACATAGGAACAAATATCTATGACCTTTGAATTAGGCAAAGAATTTTTAGATATAACACCAAAAGCACTATCCATGAAAGAAAACACAAACACAATGAAATACCACTATGCGGCCATGAGAATGACTGTCATAAAAGAAACTGGCAACACTAAATGTCAGTGACAATATGAAAACTGGAATGCTCCTACATGGTTGGTGAGAATGTAAATTGTTACACCCACTTTGGAAAAAATTTGGCAGTGTCTTAGAGTTCAAATTAACATACAGCCCAGCAGTTCCACTTCTTGCAACCGACGCAAGATAAACAAAGGCATGTATCCGCCCACTTACTTGCCAGAATCATTTTTTCATAACAGCCGAAAAAATGGAAACAATCTAAAAGTTCATTCAAAAGTTATCTTATGCCATATAATTATCATAGTTTGTTTTCTCTGAACTTGGGAAACTTTCTTAAGCGAGTCTCTACTTTTATAATCTATTAAAAAACAAAGTTTTCTAGTAAAAATTTCTGATAGATTAAAGGGATTTAATAGCTCACTAACTCCCTATGAAGACCTTCCACCTACAGGGCCAATTTCTAATTCAAAGTTTCCTTTTGTAAGAGCACAACCTGCCAATTAAATTATTAGGAAAAGCCCACACCTGCCCCTAACTTCTGAATTATGTGGGGCGGAATGGGGCACTGGCGGCTCTCGCGGTTATAGTGCTTCTCAGATGAATACCGGCGGATTGTTAATCTCACTGTATGTGGCTTCCTTCCATCTTGGCATACTCTAAAAATAAAGAGAAACGGGAAATAAGCAATTTGAAAAAATATTACCTAAAGATTTTAAAAAATTGTCTAATAAACTTAATAGATCTAAAGGTGCCAGATTTAGTAATTACAACATTATAAGTACAGTTGATAACTACACAGTAAGCAATAAAGGTCCCTGAAGAGCCCAAATAGATTTTGCAAACTCTACACACTGAAAAACTGAAATTGTAAGTGCAAGGGTCCCAGGCCCCACTCAGAATTGGGTGCTAATCAGAAAAGTAACAGAAATAAAACATAATTACAACAAGCCATTTTACTATTCAAGTCCAAAATGTAACTAAAGGCAAAATATTAAAATCAGCAAGAAGTTAAAGAAACTGAGAGAATCACTTACAGAAGCAAATAAATGAAAAGTAACAGGTTTTTCACACATTTTTTAAAAATGCACGATTACAGGAAAAAAAATAATGAGATTGCTTTTGTCAAAGAGCACTCCCCAAGTAGATCCAAGAGAGCCAGTAATAATAGCATCACTATGTGGCATACTAGAGCAAGAACTGGAAAGATCAATTATATACTATATTTAGGAAGATGAGTGCATATACATGCATCTTATAAAGTATTCCATCCAAATGGTCTTGGTTTGGGGGTTGAACACAAATTTTTAATGCTATAGAAAATTCACTTTAATAGTAGAAATTTAATAAGGGAAAATACATGTCCTTATATGTATGGCAATGCATTAAAATCACAAATACAAAATACAAATATTGTACATTGTTAAACATGCTGAAATTGAAGGTTTCTATTGGAATAGATTTTTGTAGTAAATTATTTTTTCTGCCCTGGCTGTTGTGGCTCAGTGGATTGAGTGTGGGCCTGCGAACCAAAGGGTCACCAGTTCAATTCCCAGTCAGGGCCCATGCCTGGGTTGCAGGCCAGGTCCCCAGCAGGGGGCATAGGAAAGGCGACCACACATTGATGTTTCTCTCCCTCTCTTTCTCCTTCCCTTCCCCTCTCTCTAAAAATAAATAAAATCCTTAAAAAAATTATTTTTTCTTTCATTGCTTTCTCATAAAACTTCTTGATTGCTGCTTTAAAAACAATAAACATCTTAAATAGTTGCTGTAAATATGTTACTAGTTTAAATAGCTCCCAGGTAAGCTTGTTCTTTTAAGTCATTGTGCAATTCAAAGACAATGAATTGGTTCCTGTAACTAATCAAGACATACTAGAAAAAGATTATATTCTAAGCAATCTTAAACTATTGCCTAGAAATTGGATTAAAAATGAAATGATTTAATACCTGTCACATTCCTACAGAGTCATCATTTATTCTATAAGTTGAATACACTCACACACAATGCTTTTTTTGCCACTTACACAGTATTACACTTCGATCCCTGAAATAGGGGATATAACATAGAAGAGGGAATGGCAAGCTGAGATAAGGATAAATGGTTAATAGTTGGAATTTCACAGGTCTAGCACACCTAGTCTCATTCCCGGGGTTCATTCTTAAATAAGAGAACCTATAAAATTCATAATTCTTGTGTTTTTTCTATGTGCAGAACTATTTCCCGTGCCCAGGCTTCTCATAGTAATCTTCTATTTCGTTGGAGCAAAGCAGATGACCCAGTTTCACAAGCACCGCACGGGCCCACCCTGAGTCATATCCCTGGAGCTGGGTCGCAGTCAGCCCAGTCGCATGCAGCAAGACGATGAGCTGCGTGGCTTTGCTCAAGACATGAGAACCACACCGCAATGTGACAGCCAAGTTGTAGGAACTTCACTGCATCCGTTTTCTCAGACCTAGCGTCATCCAAACTCCTTTTCTCTTGTCAGTTGGCCATCCAGACATCATTACAGAAGCACAACTGCCCAAAACTGTCCGGCCCCACACACCCCATTCTGAGAAATCAAAGACATAAGAGGAGGGGTCAATACTCTTCTACAGAGTGTTGAGGACAGATGCTTGACGGCAGAGGGGCATCAGAAAGGCACATGCCTTGTTCTGTGTATGCTAGGCTATTTGTGCTGTGCATGGCCCCAGCTGACACTCCTCGTGTACTTACAGACCAGCAACCCTGAGCGCACCCACAGCCGCTCTCACTGCCCACACAGCCCCGCTGAGCTGCTCTTTGTCTGACTCTGTTTTCTTTCACGTAGTCTAAGGCAAAGGGGACATAAGTGTTCTTCTGCTTTCTCCCTTGCTGTTGCTCTTAGTAACTACCCATCATCAACCATTACAGATTTGTAGGTGTTGGGGTTCTAGAGATGTCTGTAAACCCCATTAGGTAACTATCAGCAGCTTAAGATCCATAATATAACAATAATGTGACTAAAAATCAATTGAACTAGATGGGTTAAATTTAGTTAAGAGCGTCAACTACTAGTTTTGCAATAGTTTACAATGTAGAGAAAGTCAGTGATAAATGATCTATCTTTACACTGTTTAGTCTTCAGTTAATCTGTAAGTTCCAAGACAGAACACTAAGTATTCTTTCCACATACTACATACAGAAAATATAGGATATGGCAAAATGGAAAATCACCTGTTCAAAAGACTAGCAAGTAGTTCTTCAATCTTACTTTTAGCTTCAACTTCCGATGAACATTTTTTAAATGAATCTTCTTCACTAAAGGACTACCAAAGAAGCACAAATAAGGATAATTGTAAACCCAAATAAGCATATCCAATTATCAGTGCCATTTAGTTCACTTTTATAGTACCTCCTTTTATCTGCAACTTATTGTACTCCACTAGAAAGTGTGCTGGAAGGCAAGAGAATTACAAAGGTCCAGCAGCAACTCCAAGTTTACTGTATGATTACCGCAAGGCTCTTAATCTCCTAAAACTTGAATTTAACCTTGGACAAGTATTTTAACCTTTCTAGAGTATGGTATCCTCATCTTAAAAAAACAACGGGAGCAAGAGGAAGAGAGGGGAAAAGGTATGAACAAACAGTAGAACTACCTACCTCAAAGGTCTGTGAAAATTAAAGGGGATGATGTAAAGTACTTAGTAAAGCTCCTGCCACATAGAAAAAGAATCGGTCAATGTGAACTGGATGATTATACCTTTCTCCATTTCCTAAATCATTATACTACTCTAAAAACAAGACTTAACTAAATAATTAAAATATTTTGCCTCATACATGTAATATAGGCTATTTAGATTTATAGTGGCTAACTTTAGATTTAAATACCAATTCTTAGATTCAATTTAAGAATATTCATTAATCTACTATACACTGGCTGGGTAGCTCAGTTGGTTAGTGTTGTCCTGATACAACGAATCGATGTCTCTTTTCCTTCCACCCCTCTCTAAATCAATCAATTGTAAAAAAATCTATTATAATAAATTAGCATCCTCATAGGAAAGGGATCATGTACTAATAAGCAAACTACAATAGTAAAAACATAGCAATAAACCAGAAATCTTCATCTGAAATAATGTGACAACCAGTACTCAATTCAAGTATCATTATCATGTACCTGAGGTAGTCCTGATGGTGTTACAGGAGAGTTATCCTCTCCAAAACTGAGCTTCTGGATACGCTGAGCAACTGAAATTCCTAATTCCTTTTCTAGTATTTTGGATGGAAAGGTTTGGAGATCAGGCACACTGCTGACACCCAGTGCCTCAAGGCGTTTGGCAGTTTTATAGCCAATACCTAAACAGAAAGAAATGCATAGGGTGTTACAACAGCTTTTTTCCTTAAAATAAAACTAATGAAAATATTATAAATACTGCATTAATCACATCTTTAAATCCCATAATTAATATTTTGCTAAGATCAAACTTCATTACAAATGACATGGTTGTTCTGCTCAGCCCCTATGATTTATATGAACCACTTTGAAAACCCAACAGCCCTAATATACCTAATATAATATGATGAATATAGAGACAACCAATAAATTCTGTCTTGATAAAATTTTTACCACCCGTCAGATACCACTGTGGAAGTATTCAAGAATCATGCTGATTATTCATACGGTGTCCAACCTGTGGCCCATGGGTTACATGCAACCCAGGATGGTTGTGGATGTGGCCAAATACAAAATCATAAATTTACTTTTTCGTAAATGTTTACATGTTTTTTTGCTCATCAGATTTCATTAGTGTTTGTGTATTTAATGTGTGGCCCAAGACAACTCTTCTTTTTCCAGTGTGGCCCAGAGATGCCAAAAGGCTGGACACCCAAAGAAAGACTGTCACTAAAGCAATTAAAATTAATTAGTATGCACTCAGTATTAACCTACCTGATTTTTATATACAACACCACACATTTATTTACAAGTCACATCTGGCAATACTTACCACCTGAATACAACTAAGAACCAGAAAGTAAACCAACAAAAAAAAATTCTTATTAGCAAAACTCCTATCATAAAGTTTTTTTGTAGGAAAACTCAATTATATTTTATCACAGAAAAAAAGCTCAGGCGATGTAGTATCCTTTTACTCCTCTCATTTTTTAAAAATTAGTTCTACAATTATCTAATTTCCTTGAACAGTAAAAGTAAATCAAAGGTGATGAATGTGTAAGGGAAATTATTACAGTGGAGTGACAGATATTTTCACAGCTGAAATAAAAGAAGGCTAGCAAGTTGGCAATAAGAAAAGGCCTGTAAAAAATATATAATAATTCAAAAAGTAAAGCCAAGTAATAGTGTTATGTATCAGTATACAGTCCTCAATGTATTACAATCTGACATAGTAATTGTTCTTCAGAACACAGACTCGGGTTCATCTAAGAAGTTACAACTGTACTACTTTAAGGAAGGTGAGGGAGTAACACATTTTGGAGTCACATAAACATGTGTTAAAAATGTGAAGTTATAATATCTGCAGGTTAAGTTTCAGTTGTCTTAAAAATTCACTTCCATAGAATTCTATATAACATCTTTATCCCCAACAATGCCATAGAAATGAAGTTTAACATATCCATTATTGATGGTCTACAAAAGCATAAGTATTTGATCTTCAATGATACAAATTTGACCAGATCACTGAACCCTTCAAAAAAATCAGTTTTCTCATCTTTAAAATAAAAGCTTTGTCTAAATGCTTTGGAAGGTCTCTTGTAGCCCTAATATTTTAAATATAATCCCAAAATAGAGTTAATAAAAGACAACACTCCTCTTTAGAGGCAATGTACAGTATAACAGTATAAACCAGAGATTGGAAATAATTGACTGTATGAGTATGTTCCCAGGTTATAATTTTTATGGTCACATTCAAACTCTACAAAAGTAGGTGAGACTAGAAAAGAACTCTGTATATTTCCTAGTACAGATTCCCTCCAGAAAACAGGTTTTTTGGGTTTTCTCCAAGAACCAAGTACACAGGCTCTAAAAATTAACTACATGTCAGGCAGTGAAAGACAAATACCATATGATCTCACCTATAAGTGGAACCTGTAAGTGGAACCAAAACAAACAAGCAAGGAAAATATAACCAGAGACATAGAAATAAAGAACAAACTGACAGTAACCAGAGGGGAAGTGGGAGGGGATAATGGGGGGGAAAGGGGGAAGAAACATCAAGGAGCTTGTACAACGGACACATGGACAAAGCCAAAGGGGGCTAGGATCAAGGGTGGGAGGTGGGGATGGCTGGGGTGCAGGGGAGTGGAGGGGGCAAAATGGAGACAACTGTACATGCACAACAATTTAAAAAAAGAGAAAGAAAAAAGAATTAATTGCATGTATATATTATTTTTAAATTAAAGAAATACAATAAAATACATACTTTTCAAATATCTTTGTCTTACCAGGCATTTCTTTTATGTGTTTCAGACTGTGAATGAGGTCTTGAGAACTTTCAGGCAATAAGACTGTTTGTTGATTTGGTTTAAAGACGCCAGAAACTAATTTTGCCAGTAACTTATTGGAAGCCACTCCAGCACAGCCGGTGAGACCCAGCTGGTCACGCATGGCTTCCCGCATCTCTGCTGCCACCTGAGACCCGACAAGCAGTCTCCTGTGCAGGATGTCATGCAGGTTTATAGCTATGAAAACAGCCAATGTTGTGAAAAGTCACCACAAAAATTTTTAATTTCCTCTTTTACAAATGACTTTTAAAAGGGTACAGGATTTATCTAACCTATATTCAACACCCCCCCACCACACCCCCTACACACACACATACCCCCCACCACACTGTCACCCACTTAACTAATCTGTTTTGTTTCTACAGCGGTTCTGTAAAATAAGTAACTACAGAGAGTGAACTCCAAGGGCCTGTGACAGAGAACGCACAGAGTGCTAACTGATGAACAGATTATGAAAATTGATCTCTCATAAAAAATTCCTACTGACATTAGTAAAACTCTTCACGTTACCTGTAAGCAAGCATAAAGTACTGCATTAATAAGAAAGCCAACATTACAGCTTTGAAGATCTGAATCTAAACTTGACGTACTAGATGTATAAAAACTATTTTAGATCTGTACATATTTAAGAGCTCTTTTATCAAAAGTTGTAGGGAAATTACCTAGAAACAACTTCTAGAAGGTGTGAAAATGTTATTTCAGTTATATTAGACAATCCTTACCCTCGGAAGTATTTACAAACCAAGTCTCACGTCTGCCGTTTACTTCCACACGGCTCATCAATCAGTCAGCCAACCAACAATGAGCAAGATAAAGCACATGTGGAAAAATAATAACAGGTATATCACCCAGGAGGGTATAATGAGTGTTCTTATTGTATTATTCCACCAATTTTTCTGTATGTTTAAAAAATGTTAACAAAATTGTGGGGCGGTGGAAGAATTCATGAAAAAGTAGAGATTTTCTTTTTAGGATATAAGACCTAGCTCTCTGTACTATGTTCTAAGCAATAAAGTATGAATTTGCTTTAAGAATTACACAGAAACATATTTGGAATGTTCTTGCTTCTCAGCCTTTGCAAGTGCAAGAAACTACAGGTACAAAGGATGAGAAAAGCTCCATGTCTTCTAGAAGAGAACTGTAGCTTTCACCCTTTTCTTTAAGATCAGGGAAGTGGAGAACTAGATGGGGACTGGTCACCAGCTCTCAAAAAAGGGAGTAAGAGGAAGCACATGCAGAGACCTAGAAGCCAGGTGGTCAGGGCAAGTGGTTCACAAAAGCACAGTAGCTTGTGTTCCTTCTGGTGTAACATGCAAGTCACCAGCAGAGTCACAAGATCTCTCCAAGTCTAATCAGACAGTCACTGGAACTTATTTTCAAATGCAAACATCCCCCGGGAGTACCAGCAGTCACTTATACTTTAATACGTGAAGGAGACGGGCCGTTCTGCTTTCATGCTAAGAGCTGGCAAAGATGATCTGAACGAATTGCACAGGAGCTTGCAAAAGACAGCAGCTAGGCTGGGTCAGGCCCCCAGAAGGGCTAACTCAGGAAGTCAGGGACGACAAAACGGTCTCGGTGCTCTGGGGCAACAAAAGCGAGAGGCCACAAAGGCACATTTCACCTACCTCAAAGTTTTGCCTAAAGACAGTTTGAAGAGAATCAAAAATTATTCTAAAAAGCCTATTATCAAGCCAGCTCCTCTAACGTAAGGCTGACCTAAAGAGGTATGACACTCCAAAATGGTAACGCCCGGACCGTGTCGGACAAGTGGGAAGTGTGCAGAGCACCGAGCTACGGGAGCAACACATGTTTCAGCCACCTGCACAGATGACTGACCTGCGGCTGCACCTCCGACAAAAGCCATAAAGTGTCCAAAGTCGGTTTGTGGAACACACTGAGCATTAAGACATGTATGTGCTTTAAAACGAATGAACAGAGTAAGTCAGATGCACTCACACTGATCGTTGTACACGTGACCCGACACAGTCAGTGCTGGAAGTTCATCACTTTGAAGCTGCTGTAGTCTCTTCTCAACCGTTTCTGTTATATCCACAAAATTTTCATCAAATCCAAGCCTCTCAACAACTGGACTAAATTCCTCCAGCAAATCTAAATTTACAGAATATTGGAGCACAGATGGAACTGAAGTTACAACTAGAATCCATTTAACTTTTATGCTTACATCAAATATGTTATTAAAGGTTTTACATATAGCCATAGTCCCACAACATATTTAATACAGCCCTTGGTTAACTGATTTTTTTTCTGAACCACATTTTGAGTAAGGACAAAATTTTCCCAACAAAGTCAGTCTAAAATGATACTCGCTGGGCAGATACTCATAGTGATACATTTAGCTCAACCTCCTATACTTATCATTTCTGTGTCTGTAGTATATTCAATATCAATGCTTATTGTTAATTATGATCTTGAAGCAGTGGACCAAAGAATAAATTATAGTCTGCCTAGAAAAGTAAAAACAAGTAATAATATAGTCTAGCTACATTTTTCACAGGAGTTTTTGAAGGCAAAACCAAAATTTATAATTTCTAATTATTACTGAGCCAAAAAGAAAACTCATTTAATTTTCAAAATACACCACAATTCAGTATTTTAATTAGCCATTCCCAAGCTAATTCCTTACAGGCAGAGATGGACCACGATTTACATGTATGTGAGTGTCCAACATCTAGTCTAATGCCTAGTCCTTAAGTCAAATGTTTACTAAACTGAACTGAACCAAATTTGCTATAAATTCAAAAGGATTATCAATTTTCCTTTTTAGGATTAAGACTACTAACGACTTTGAAATCACTGAGAAGAGTTTTCATTTCTCTCTGAATTACCTGTTGATATCAGCTGGATGGCAGAAAACATTCACTATTTTTTTCACCTATGAGGTAAAATCTTTATAATTTGAGAATATCTAACACTCCTGCACATACTAGCAATTATGTTGGGACAGACTTAACTGCAACATATAGCAGTATTCAAAATTTTAAGCGCAAACTACCTTTGATCTATTATAGCAATTAACCTCTAGGGACTTAACTTATAAATACCCTCAAAAAAGTATGCCCAAATTTCCGCATGAAAATGTCTACTGCAGCATATATTTATTTGTAAGAGCAAAAAAGTTGGTAACGGCCTAATAATCCATCACCATTAGGAAAACCATAAAAGTTACCATTCAAAACAAGACATTTTTTAAATAAAAGCAGCTAGTACTAATAATTATGCAGGGGCATTAGCCATAAAGTGGAACACGCTGTCCTCCTATCACTAGAGGACTGGTTAAATAAGCATGGAACAAAATGCAATGGAATACTGCAGGCATTAAAAAGAATAAGGAAGAGCTACATAAATGACATGAAAGACCACCAAGAACAAAGGCAAGATGCACAACACATATAAATATTCTTCTGTGTACACTAACAATTAACTTCTTAATATTCAGACACACACAGTTTTGCATAGATGCACAAGTACTATTTTGGGAGTAGTCTTATCTTTTCTGCATGGCTGTTCTTTCTCCCCTCCCCTCCCATTTCAGCACCGCCTCTTCCCCTCCAGAAGGTAACTAAGGTTAACAACTCAGTACATATCCTCTCATGTTTCTCTTCCTGTTCATATGTACACATAAACATATATGTGGGGGAGGAGTTTGTGCTATTGTTTTATACATATGGAAAATGTAATATACTTTTTTTGCATCTTAACTTTAACTCACTCAACAAGGTATATATTAATGAGTCAAGTATACAGCACCAATGCATTCTTTTTAATGGTTAACAGTCCATCATAGCCTAATTTAGCCATCCTTATCCTGATGGACATTTGTTTTCATTCCATGTTTACCAATTATGAACCATGCTACAATACAAATTTTTGTACATACGTCCTTAGGATTTTATTTCTTAAATTGCCAGAGGTTACATCACTGGGTTAAAGACTATAATATGTATCTTTAACTTCAAAAATGTTTCCAGATTGCTTTTTCAAAAAGGCAACAATACTTTGTTTCTACCTTTTCTCACATTATTTTTTGCAAGTATGATGGATATAAAATATCTTAATGATTCAGATTTTCTTAAACAATAATGAATTTGAGCACTCTTTTATCCAGATAATCATAGGACATTGTGTTTGCTCTTTTTGTCAATCACCTATTCATATTCTTTGTCCAATTTTCTTGAGTTTTTTTCCTTGTTGATCTATTAGTGTTTTTGGATATTATATATATTTAACCCTTTCATCTGAAAACTGCTACAATAATAAAAGAACAAACAATAACAGTAGCAAAGAAGGTAGATATAACTAGTTTTTAACTGTTTTAAATTATGTTAAACATTACAGAAACCTCTCTCAACTAACATTAATGAATGAGAGTATAGCATATCTCTTCATAATTCATTTAAATTTAAAATTAAAAATATTTGGCTTTCTTTAGTATATCTCCCCATTTTCTCCCTTTTAAATTTTGTTCCACTTTTCTCATATTTACATGACACCAGTCAGGACCTACTTCAAACTCCTCCCACTTTACATTTTGTATCAACACTACTTACATAACATCATCCTCATATACATTTTTTTTAAATGGGCAAGACCCAAAATAAAGTTATTAGCAAAAAAGAAACTGATTATGGCATTTTACATTTATTAAAAGATTTCATGAAATGAACAGGCATCCTATATAAAAACTAATGCTAAAAAAATACTCCCTGTAATCTGTACCTGTAACCTTATATGACATCTCTCTGTAACGAGTCAAGTCTTCTCCATTCACTAACACCAGCTGTGGACACTTTTCTTTTGCATCTCTAACACTCATAAGTTTCTTTACTCCAAGTTCCCTAGCTTCGTAGTTGCAGGTAACCACCAAAGATTTCTGCTGAACCCCTATAAAAAATAAATATTTTATGAGAAAACTGAGAATTTAAAAAAAATCTTAACATATAATTTACTAACCCTATATTATAACTGTAAATTGTAATGCAATCTGTTTTGATTAAAAATAAAAAGCTGTGTTTCATTTAATAAATATAGCCTCTATTCATCGGTTCTTTAAAGTAAAATTTAGCAGAAATGATCATGAATCGGTAGATTCTATGGAGTCTTCAGCAAAAAGATACAAATAAAATCATTCTAGAATTTTTTCAGACAAAACCTGATTAATTTATACTGAATTAACTCTACATGTAAATCTAGCCCATATTTTACCAAAAAATAAAAGCAGATGCAAATAATGGAGTACAATTAATTCCTGGACTCACTTATCTTCTGAGTAACTGTGTAATGAAGATAAATCCATGTCCTGCTACAAGTACCAACCTACAGTAATTATCAGGTATCTCCTCCAATAAATGTTCTCATTATTGAACTATTCTTCCTAATCATCTGCAGAGAAGATTAGATAATGCGGGGGGCTGGGGCATTCTGAGCCCCCAAATCTTTCTTAATGTGGTTAATAAGTTAGAATACAATGGACACAGTAAACGAGTACTGATCCTATTACACAACAAATATTATCAACATCCATAATTACCTAAAGGTTTGCCCCTTAGTTCCGGGTTTGAGATCATTTCTACTTGTGCATAAAAGCAATCCAGATCCACGTGTACTATGACTCTGGATGAAGAACTTCCTGCTGGCACCACCTGATCATGAACTGATGCACAATATGCAAAGAAATACAAAAATACATTCAGGCTGTTTATCATCTCTGAGCAACTGGTAACTCCTTAAAACCTGGTAACTGAGAAAAAACAATGCGAAATGATTTTAAAAGTTTTTTTCCCCTGGATTCATTATATCTACTAAAGCATCTAAAAATTACAAAGACATAAGAGCAACTCTCTGTACAGTAGGGTCTTCAGTCCTGTTCACTTAGCATTTCTTTATGCACTGTATTTTCCTCAAGAATAAATTTCAGGGGAAAAAGTCTTGATCAATAATGGGTGACGAGACTATCCTCTCGCTTCAAAGTTTACAGTAAAATTTATGGTAAATTAGAGGGGTAGAAAAGTTTAAACGCAGATTTCAACCAACTTAAAAATTATTCTAAGTGGCACGTCCTTAAATTTGAAACAATCAGAAATACAGAATTGCAGAAGACAACTTATGGGTACCTGTGAACTATATCTAGCTTCCATACGAAAGCAGGATTATCTGGTTCAGTGCTGAATCCCCAGTACTGGTAACAGTGCCCTGCATATAAGACTATCAATAAATGCTCACTAAAAAAAAAGTACATATTTCTTGGACTTTAAAAAAAAGCAGTTTATGTCATGGAGAATGGAGGTGGGGTGGGCGAGACACGGGAAAGATGAAATTCCAGCTGCTAACACCAGTTTAAAAACAAGGCAGGTTAAATGCAATGTACTGTTCTGGTTTGGATCCTGGAACACAAAATCTTATAGTAGGAAAAAACTGGTAAAATGTGAATAAAGCTTGTATTTTAGTTAACAGTATTATGATAATGTTAACTCCTTAGTTTTGACAAATGTACCATGGTGATGTAAAATACTATCATTAGGGATAACTTTCTCCAACTTCGGAAATTCTAAAATTCTTCCAAAATTTAAGTTTAATTACAAAAAAAAAAAAAAAAAAAGGAAGCGGAGACCCCGGGGCTCTGGCCCCAGGACAGACAAACAAGATGCAGCCAAAGCTAGAAGTGGGTCACCGGAGAGGCGATCACTGCACACGAGCCTCGTCTCGGGTTCCTTCCGAGCCCACCCGTTCCTTCCAGACCCAACCGAGGCCCGGCCCCACCCCCGACAACTGCGCCACAAGGTTCTCCACTTCTGCAACTTTAAAGTGCCCAGGAGCCTATTTGGCTTTCATTGAGTTCTTTGAGGGGCTACTACAAATACACTCTTGCCTAACTAGGTGATGCCATCCCTCTCGGGGTCCTGAATGCAAAACACCAGGCAGCCAAGGGCAGCCCTCTTGGCAGACCCAGCAAAATGAAATGAACCAAGCGGGGCGGAGACGGTCGCACCCCAACGGCCGCCGCGCCCAGCGCCTCCGCCCGCCCCGCCCTTCTCATTTACACCAAGGGAGGTTGCCAGGTTCCCCGCGCACCCGGAGAGCCGGCTAACGCCCCCGCCCGCGCGCGTTCCATCGCCCGAGCCGCGTCCTCTTCCTCGTCGTTGCAGCCTTCCTCCTCGGGCTCCGCCCCCAGCTCCTCCGATCCGTGGCAGCCTACCGCAGCACAGCTTCCGGCAGCCTCCGCCCGGTATCCAGGGAAACCGTGGCCCGACCTCCTCTAGCCGGTTTGGCTTTGGCGCCTGCGTGGTGCGGGCCAACGGGCCCATAACCCAGCTGCTAGCGCGGGCTCGGAAACCTCTGGATCCACGTGCCGAGGTTTCCTCCCGCTAAGTCGAGGCAGGAAGTGAGGGGTTGCGTTCCAAAACGGCGGCTCATTGTTTTCTTGAGATCTTTGGTGTTACTACTTTTTATCTTTACCTAGAGGTCAGCCTGTTCTCCCGATCAGTTGTTAGGGAAATTGGACACTGAACGATTTATAGGGATGGAAGTAGGGAAACGGTAAAAATCATGGTAAGAGCAAGACGGGCACATAAACTAATGTGATTAACAAGTGTGTTAAAGTTTATTGCATTTTGTTTGTTGTTCGATTCAAAGAGACTGTGCCAAATTGAACCTCTGAATTTCTAATCATCTAAACGGAATAGAATTTTAATGCATGAGCTTTGGAGGCAAAGGAAATCTCTGCTCCAGACGCATCAACTTGCTGTGTGACTTTGAGCAGGTTATGTGCCATATTTTTCAGACTACAAGACGCACCCCCCAAATTTGGGGGAGAAATGGGGGTGCATCTTATAGTCCAAATGTAGCTTATCTGGCTTGCTGTGGAGGGGGCGGCAGCCTATGTTATTTATGTTATTAAATATTTTACCACATTTTTTTGCTTCAACATTTCTCCCCCATTTTCCTCCTCTAAATCCTAGGTGTGTCTTATGGTCCGGTGCGTCTTATAGTCCTAAAAATACGGTAACTACTCTGCGCCTCAGTTTCTCCACTGAAAAAAAAAAATGTCCTGAGAACAAATGATTGACTAAACGAAAACTAACATATACTTTAATATTCCAATGTATGTAACACACCTACCTTCTGTTAAGATGTATTGTGTGCCTGTGTGTTTTTACCAACAGAGGAAATTTGGAAATTTCTTTGTGTACACATATATTCAACATGTATGTTTTCACAGTATTCTGCCCTTACAAAGAGGATGTGAGGACCTTGAGAACACCTTTAAAGGACATGTTGGTATATCCACAGTGGGGAAGGAATTCAACAGGCAGAGCCGGGACTCAGTGGATTGGAGGCCAAGTCTTCCTCTCAGACGTCGGGACCAGTTCCCTGAGAGTCTACAGTGCAGGATCTAAGAGTGACTCAGAGCCGTGCTGCTTTGTTTGTGAACGCTGTTTGGTAAGTTTAGCTAAAAGGCTTTTGAATTAAGTGCTTCCTTGGCTAGTAAGTGCTTCTTGGCTATTTTCCAGGGTGTCCAAGTACTTGCAGAAAACTAAGCTTTATTTTTTAATTCTTTCATGTTGAGGATGATCCAAACTATGGACATGCCGTGGAAGATTGAAACTGCTCCTTTATAAGAGCCATAGGCTCACTACACTCGTCAGCTTCGGAAAGGCATAGTAAAGCCCTCTTCAGCTTCATTTGTTTCCCTGTCACTTGTCAAATTGAAGAGCAGCTTTTAATTTGATAATTCGTTCATGATAAACATGAACGCTCATGTCAGTGAAGGGTGAGGGAGTCGCCAGTATCTGCTTCTGTCTTTCTAGCTGAATTGGCCACACGTGGTTCAGACTAAAAACTCTAGACCCCCTTCAAGGGCTTTGACAGGAAGAGTGGAAGAGTCTTCATGAGTGTCTGTATTTCATGTTGGTGGGTGGCTTGGGAGGTACAGGTTGACCATGGGGTCAAAGGAACAATTTGGACTGGCAAAGGCACAAAGAGCTTGGTTTTGTAAGGTCTTTGGCCTAGTGCAGTGGTCCTCAATCACTGGGGACCCTGGGAGATATCTGGCAATATCTCGAAAATACTTTTTGTAGTCACATCAGGGAACTGGGGCTCCGCACCACTGGCATCTAGTGGGTGGAGGCCAGAGGCACTGCTGAACATCCCACAGTGCCCAGGACAGCCCTTCACAGTAAAGAATCATCCAGCCCAGTGTGTCCATTGGACCAACGTTGGGGCGTTCTGGCCTAGTAGTCTTGATACCATCCTGCACCCCACTCCCTTGTTAGGTTTAAGGTCCCCAGTTGTAATAAAGAATTGGTCTTCAGATATGTGCTCTTAATTATAAATGACATTTTTTAGAGAAAGGAGGATGTAAGAGAGGGAGACAACTGTAATTTCATTGCTTTTCACTGTGGGAATCTACATTCTGGGAACACATTTGTGAGGAAAAAAAAAGATTTAAGAAAAATATGCATACGTTTATGGAGCTTATGGGTTGCCCCTGGGGTGAAAGGCTAATGAGTCACAAATAATTTACAAGGCTTAAATGCAAAACTCCGAAGCACAGAAAGGCTTCAGACGGTTGAAAGCAAACTATAATTAGGATACACTGTTGTACAATGTGCGTGCCACGCAGTATTTAGTAATGTTCATCCAAGGATCTGAAATCCTTTGCATAAAAACTACAGTTGTCGTGAAGAAACTCTCTCTCGCTCTCTACATTCCTTCCTCCCTTCTCCCACCCCCCTCTCTCTCATCTTGCACACCAAAGCCTCAGTTTCATGCTTTCTCAGTGTAACCTAAAAATATTTGCTGCATACCATGCAATTGTGGCCAGTAGAAGGTGTAAGAAGCTGGAGTTTTTCTACAGTCAGCTTCTCTGACTCTTTTTTGTGGTTCTGTGTAGTTCTGATGAAAAGCCTGCATAGTCACTTTAGTAATGACATTTAAAATGTTGCTTGTCAGGGTGTACTCGACGAAATCTGCCTCATCATTTTGGACAAAGAGAGGTGGGAACCAATGTGATCACAGTACAAATCATTTGGTCAAGGTTTGTAAATAACCTCTGCAAACTTCAGTCACTGAGAAAAGAGAACTACTGGATGTCATATAGAAAGTGTGAGCAGATTGACATAGGTCAGGCACACTGTGTTAAACTGATAAACACTTAACCTGAGTGTAACGATTATAAGAACTTTTTCTGACTGCAAAAGTAATTTGCGATTATTGTGAAGAATTTTGAAGATAGAGGAAGGAGGTAAGAAGCAATGGAAATAATTGTAATAATCCATAATCTTGGTGCTCAGAAATAACCATCCTTTGTCTTTTCATAAAGCATAACTTAAAAAGAAAGTTTTTGTTTCATTTCACAAATAAATTTTTGTATCTATTTTTTTACCAAACCACAAGACCATTGTGAGATGCATTGCCTGAATAAATGACATAAACAAAACTTTACATACTTGTTTTTATGTTAATTTGAAGGAAATGAATAACTATGGTCTCAATATCATCTTGGAAATGTTAATAATTTCAATTTAACCAATAATCTCCATTTTCCTGGTTTAGATTAATATGAACTCCCCATAAAGGAAACTAATATTTATATTTATAGGACTTATTTCTTAAAGTTGGTTTCAAGACTCCATTAAAGTACTTGTTAATCCTAAAAGTACTGCCTGTGTCTCTGGTAAAACAAACAAAAAAATTTCATCCATTGTTTAAGACATTGTGATGAGACAAAAAAGTGCCAGGTATAAAGTGAAAATCGATCGTAACCCCCACTGCACCCTGAGGCAACCACTGTTAACAGTATATGTTAATATGCTTCATCGGGTTTTCTCTTACCATGTTTAATACAGGGTGGACATAGGGATAGTCATTTCTAATTCACGAGTAGGATCACACTATGCAGAGTCTTCTTGAAGACTCTTCTTCACCAGGTTTTTTTAACTTACTTTATCTTGAGCATCATTTCTTTTCCCCGCAGGAAAATTAACGGCGTTCTTTTTAATGGTGCACTGTTTTACCGGGTCCATGTTGATGGACACTTACAGCTGATCTTTTGTTGCAGTGCGCATCCTCACGCATTTTGTCTCTCTGCACCCTTCTTCAGGAGTTTGACCCCGCTCTTCCCTAGGACTAACCTAATCCCCTAAAATTCTATACGAATGTTGTCTGTATCTTTTCAAATTAATAAAAACCCTATGAAAACTTATGATGATACATGAGTCCTGTCAGTTCTTTTTTCCATCATTCCCTCAAACCCCTCCACTCTCCCTGCATACGTGCTGATGCATTTCTCGTCCAGGCCACACACACAGTCATCTCTGGCTTAGCCTAGAGCAGTGGCCTCCTACAACCGGCCCATCTGTGGGTCCTAGAGAGATCCTTTAATAATGTATGATATAATGTGGCTTTTCCACTAGGAATCTTTCAGAGGCTTCCGACAAACAACCTTTAGAGTAAAATTCAAGCCCCTTTCTCACCATGGTCCTCAAGTCCTCACTGGGACAGGGTCCACCTTTCGTTCCTACTTCTCATAGCAGCTTATCATTTTCCCTTGCACTTGGCTACACCAGACGCCAGCCCCCTTTCTGTTCTGCTGACATATATTTAGTCTGCAAGCAGCAAGCTGGAAACCCAGGAGGGCTGGTGATGTAGTTCTAGTCTAAGCCTAAGTCCTGGGAACTGGGAGAGCTGATGATGATGTTTATAAATTCTAGTTCAAGTATGAAAGCAGAAGACTGATGCCTGAGCTCTAAGGCAGAGAGAGTGATCTCCCTCATTCAGCCTTTTGATTCTATTTAGGCCATGAACAGGCTGGGCGAGGCCCAAACACATCGGGGAGGACGATCTGCCTTACTCAGTCTATTTGAATGTTGATCTCATCCAGAAATGTCCTCCTAGACATACCCAGAGTAATGTTTAACCAAATATCTGGACACCCTGTGGCTCAGTGAAGTTGACACATGAAATTAACCACCACAGGACAATTTCCGGACTTCAGACCACTGTGCTGTTCGAAAGGTTTTTCACAGAACTGGCTTGTTCTCTTTCTCTAGTTCTCAATTCAAATGTCAACACCTCTAACTGACCTTTCCAAACCACAGTCTCTCAGATGGCCACCACCAGAATCACCACATTCTTTCACGACATACTAAATAACATTTATAACACATATTTCAATGTACAATTTTATATTTGCCTTTTACTTATTTTTAATATCTCTCCTTTACTAGAATATAAATTGTATTAAGGCAGGGACCTAGCATCCCTTGTACTTTTTTGGTACCTACCAAAAACATATGCTCAATAAATAGATAGCAATATTCCAACATCAACTGGATAACTGAAGTTGAGATTTTTAAAGTCCTGCATAGACAAATACTCATTACGCAAGAATTTCAAATAATTATGCAGGGGAAAGTGTGCAAAAGTCAATTTACAGCTGTTCATATGGAAAATAATACTGTAATTACTTAATACAAGAACAAGCTCTGTGTTTCACATACAACTGTAAACCTACTTTCGCCCCACCCTATATGTAGAAAAGACCCCGTCTGGGAGGTGGAACTTCATCTCTACCCTTTTGCAGGTGGACTAGTGATTTGCTTTCAAGAATAGAGGGTAAAAAGAGAGGAACAGTAAGTTTACAATGGAGAAATCCGACAGTGACTGTCTTAGCCAAATTAGCGTGTGGATACAATGCAGCCCAGAAAGGATGCTTTCAGAAGGGTGCGGCATCACTTCTGTAGAATTCTTGCCAAAAATGCATAATCTCAATGCAATCGTAAGGAGACCTCAGACAAACCTACCAAATTGAGAGGTGTTTTACAAAACAGTTAGTTAACCAGTGTTTACCAAAAGTGTTAAGGTGGTGAAAATCAAGGTAAAAGGAACTGTCACAGGTTGAAAAAGACTGAGGAGACATGACAATTAAATACAATGTGGCAGCCTGAATTGATTTTCAGAACAGAAAGGATGTTACTGGAAAAGCTGGTGTAATCCAAATAAAATTGCAAGTTTATAAAAATGTATCAATGCCAATTTCTTGTTTGGACCAAAGTAACAACAGCTGGGAAAACCAGGAAGGATACGTGAGAACTTTTTACTGTATTTGCAACTTTTTTTGTAAGGATAAATATACTCCAAAATGAAAAGTCTATTTTAAAAAATAGATAATCAGTCTATAGCCATACCACCCTGAATGTGCTTGATCTCATCTAAAAATAATCAGGAACCAGAAACTAAATAAGCAGCAATTTTTTTTCTAATCTTCACAAATACAAAAAATGAAAACAGTCCTTTAGATTCAACCACACACACAGGTAACTATGTGAGGTGACGAAATGTGTTAATTAACTTGATTATAATAATCATTTCACAATGTATATGTATATTATCACAGTGTATACCTAAATGTATGTGTTTTTATTTGCAACTATACCTCAATAAATCTGAGAAAAACCTTTCTTTAGATTGTTTGAGATTTTTATTTTTTGTTGAGATATGCTATACATTACTATGAATTTCCCTCTTAGGACTGCTTTCTCTCTGTGCCATAGATTATGGGTTGTTGGGTTTTTGTTTTCATTTGTCTCAAGATACCTTTTGATTTCTTCCTTGACCTCATTGTTAACCTATTCGCTGTTTAGTAACATGTTATTTAGCCTCTAGGTGTTTGAGTGTTTTTCAGTTGTTTTGTTGTAACTGAGTTCTGATTTCATACCATTGTGGTTAGAGAAGACGCTTGGTATAATTTCAGCCCTAAATTTACTGAGACTTGTTTTGTGAGCTAAGATAGGGTCTATCCTAGAAAATGTTGCATAAGCACTCGAAAAGAGTGTATATTCTGTTTTGGGATGAAATGCTTCAAAAATATCAATTAAATCCATCTAGTCTAGTGTATCTTTTACAGTTGAATTTATTGGGGTGGCATTGTTTATTAAAATTATATAGGTTTCAGCTATAGAATTCTACAGGAACATCATGTGCATATTGTCTTGTGTTCACTACCCCAAGTCCAGTCTCCTTCCATCAGTATAAATCCCCCCTTTCCCCTCTCCTGCCTCGTCCCACCCCCCTCTCCCTCTGGTAATCACCATATTGTTGTCTGTCTAGGAGGCTTTTGTTTTGTTTTGTTTTTTAATTTGTTTTTGCTTAATCCCTTCACTTTTTTCACCCAGTCCCCCAGCCCCTCCCCTCTGACAGCTGTGTCATTGTGTCATTTATGGCCCTTGTTTCCTTGTTGATTTCCTGTCTGGAAGATCGACCATTGATGTCAATGGGGTATTAGAATCCCCTACTATGACTGTGTTACTTTCAGTCTCTCTGTTTATGTCCATCAGTATTTGTTCTATATACTTAGGTGCACAAATGTTTACAAGGGCCATATTCTATTATTGGATCGATCCCTTTAGCATTATATAATGCCCTTCTTTGTGTTTTATTAGAGCCTTTGTTTTAAAGTCTATTTTGTTTAATATAAGTATTGCGACTCCAGCTTTTTAAAATTCCATTTGCATAAAATATCTTTTGCCATCTCTTTACTTTCAGTCTGTGTGTGCCTTTCGATCTGAAGTGGGCCCCTTGTTGACAGCATATATATGGGTCTTATTTAAACCCAAGGAAAAAACCTTAAATGTTGCTACTGATATTCAAAAGTGCAATAAAAATTTCTGCCTTTTATTAAATTAATTAATCTAGGTAGATAGATAGATAGATAGGTATTACTCTTTGAATTCCATTTACAAAATTTTTAAACCTCTTGGGTCTCAACTATTATTATTATTATTTTATTGTTGACACTATTAGAGATGCCCCCCCATCCCCACCTCCCCTCTTTGCCCACCTTCAACTATTATTTTCCATTTTTGTTACCATGGTTTAAAATCCTAAAAAGATGCAATGCTTGCAGTTAATGCCAATTTAATGTTTATAATTAAAGGATTTTTTTTAACATACTGGTACCAAAGAGATAATTACTGTACCGAAGAGATAATTACTGCTCTTAAAATCATCACTCCTTAAAAAATAATTTCTGCATGAAATGATTCTTATTGCCTATAAGATTTAGCTTACTTTCTTTTGAATAAAAGCCATAAAAATTATTAAGAAGCCAATGGTAATCATACCTGAAATCAGAATGCGGAATCCCTAGTCCATCTGAGGTGTTGGAAACGGGGGTGCTACCAGCAGGCTCTTCCACGGGCGTCCGACCTGGTTCCTGCCCTAAGGCGGTAACTGTCCGAGAGCACGCACAGCCCATTGGTCCGGGTGTCGCTGGAGCAGCCATGTTCATTCAAATAATGGCTTCTGTTACCTTCACTTGTGTAATGGCAAAATGACATATTAATCAATAATGCACTGTAGAAAATATCCTGGTTTTGGATTTGCACAGAATTACCTAAGAAATCAATACTCACTTAAGACATTTTTTTTAAATGCCAACTTGTTACATTTTTGTCTCCCTTCACGGAGTCACAAGTCAAGGTCATGAAAAACAGAGGAAGACAAGGAACTGTCACAGCTTGGAGGAGACTAAGAAAATATAACAAATCAATGAAAGGTAGGATTCTGGATCTGACCCAGGACGCTGGGGGCAAAACTGGCAAAATTCGAATAAGTTTTCTGGTTTAGTTAATAATTTTGTACCAATGTTACCTCTCGCTTTGGGTAATTATGGTCGTGTAAGTTAACAGTAGAGAAACTGGGTAAAAGGTAAACACCAATTTTCTGAACTATTTTTGCAACTTCTGCAAGTCTAAAATTATTTCAAAAGATTTTTAAAAATTGCATTGGAAAATTCCTCAGGAAGTTGTTACTTCAGAGAGAGAGATAACATTTCTCAATAATTCCCATACAGCCAGCGTTTCTACCAGCTTTGAAGCAGAGTGTTGTTTTTTTTCAGTTGAGCAGCAGATACAGTGCAGTTGTTAACTTGTGCTTCAGGAATGTTTTGCAGAGAAATACATATTTTAAGACACTAGAATTATACTTTGTCCAGCAAAACGTTCATACTTTGAGAGGCCCGTTGGAAGCAAGGCCAACTGAGAAAAAGATGCACCTTTCTCGTCTCATGTTTGTGCCAGAGTATGTGCTCATTGTGTGGGGTATTGGGCTAAGTTGTCTAGGCAGTTTAAAATCGGGGAGTTTTTCCCTTTTTCCATTATTTTCCTGTCTTGTTAAGTGTAAA